CGGAAGTTTACGAGGTTCTATGGAGCTGCTAAATGTGCGCGACACCACATTTTCCCGAATTGTTCATTGCTTTGCGTTTTGTACATCTTAGTGAGCGATGAACTATTTCCAAAACAGCCTCTGATCCACAATCACATCTGCTTCATTTCCACAGAGTGAAACCTGAATTTACCAATTATAGAATCTACAGATATAAAAACCTTCCAAGATGTGTCATAAAATTAACGATATTTGTGTTTCATAAGCTGGTGAAATAGACACATTGCTGTCATTGTCGTTACCATAGTCAAATTCGGGGGTTCTACGCAGAGTGTCGAACCGATATTTTTATTGGTTCGGTTCGGGTTCGGGTTCACGGCTTTCGGTTCAGTTCCGGTTCAGTTCCGGGGTGCAAAAATAACGGTTCAAACCGGTTCGAACCGGTTCGAACCGGTTTGAACCGCTAAATTGAGAATATATTTTCCGCGTTGTTCTGTCAATAGCGCTATTTAGGCCGTGAAACTAACTGCTGTAAACGATCTGATTTTTGCGAGGACCTATTTTTGAAAATTTCGCGAATCGCCTACAATTCGCGAAAAATGGGTCCCGCGAACAATTTCGGTAAAATGTAAACAGATTGAAATTTATATTGAGATTCCACCGCGTCGAGAAAATTACAACCCGCGAATTATTCCAAATCTTCAGCTTTGACCTAAATCGCGAAATATTGAGCCCACGAAAAATAGCCGTTTACGGTATATAGTTTTTTTTTATTGTTTGTTCAATTCAGTTTTATTCTCAGGTACCAAAATTATAAAATTCTGTTATTTATTCCTACACAACAAGAAAGGAAAATCTACAGTAACATACAAAACGTCGTGTTTATACGACTCAACATCCCTTCGTTTACCAGAGTCACATATATTGTACCTGAATCGAAATGTTTTCGGAAGTGAAGTAGGTTGCCTAAAATACCCGTGATTGGTACAACTTTGTATCGCAGTATTGAATGTTAAATCGTGGTTTTGCCCTTGAACTAAGGAATTAATTACAGTGAATACAATCATGAAATGGGCACCTCGTCGCCATATATATCATGAAATGTGTTTTACGGAATACGTTTCACAATATATATATGATGACGAGACGACTAAGCTTAAGGGAATATAATTTTCAAAATGTCACGAAAGTCACGGGACAAGTCCTTCCAGTCTATATTTTATAGGAACACTAAGCGACAATCGCAATGCTTGTTTTTCTAATTAGCATATTGTTTGCTCTCAGCACCATGATGCGGGCGACGAATCATGCGAAAAGGAGTGGCTGAAATTGTTCACTCTAACCTATGAGCACCTTAGTACTGAGATCGAATCTGACCTAATACAGTGCTTACCCATGTGAACATTTTCTTATATTGGATAAACTGGCATAGCCTGGATGTTGAGGTTTGCTCTTGACAAAATGCAGGTCAATTTAATTTGCAAATAAGCATCACCCTCGCTAATTGATGATTTTTGTTAAATAGAACAAAGTGGTATTTCATGCTCTACTCAATTCGGAAGCTACCTAATTGGACACTTTCTGAGAGTTTAAGTGTGCAATCGTCATAGTTCCACCATTCGTTCCAGTAAAAAAAGGCGATAGTAAAAACACATAAAAAACGCGATAATAAACTTCTATATATTTGAGAAGTTATATATGCGTGAGGAACACATATAGTTATTTAAATTAGCTTCAAAATAATAAAAAAAAAAACATTATTTAAAGCTTTTCAAACTCACCTATAACGTGTCTATAGAGGATAAAAGCGCCGAAAAATATTTGCCGAACATCTTTCAGATAATTTAAAGGCGCATTTACTTATATATCTTGGAGGTGAGAATCTTCTATTTATGCTGCCAAATCTTCAGACAGGAATTAAGTATATTTTTATTATCATCGATAAATTTGACTTCATGAATTTCACATAACCGCCTGAGACCGACACGGAAGGACGATACTCGAAAATACGCCAGCTGTTGTGTCTTCGGCAACGTGCTTTTGTTAGCTGTTTTGCAGTGTAAAATAGTGGGTTGCAGGGCATGCCAAAAAACACTGTGGTCACATGATATATCGGAAGGCAAATACACGAAATGTGCAGAAATAAGGAGATAACACGCATTTTTTTCTAAATAATCCCTTACACAACGCTTTACTGCAAAAAGAAATGCATAGAAGTGCATAAAATGATATTCCTAATTAAACAGATTCCGCGCAGGGCAAACAAAGATTTTTTAAAATCCTAATATAAATCACTTTTGGGCATCAGCTTGCCTCAGCTCGAAACGTCGCGGGATACTACCTCGGGAGGCTAATGTTATCTTAGGTTTTACGTGCACTTGTTTTGAGACCTTACTTCATGACTCTGTTCTTTATCAGTCATGTGCTCCAACATTTCGTTAGGCTGCCGTATATCATCGCGAGACTACTATAAATACTACACAACTTTACACATTGGACGTCTACTGCTGGTGTTGCGAATGTCGCACTTTACCAGAAAGCTGAAGTATTTAACATGGTTTGCACGTGACGTAATCGCACTAGATACTGGTTGTCATTGCGAGTTGTTCTTGCTGAGAAAATCAAATCCGGTTTGGCAAAATGCACGCTGCAAAAGTTTCGCGCTCAGTGCAAGCTATGTATTTGAGAGGCACACATTTTTCTTGTTGGTACATCGTCGTTAGGCACGGCGCGAGTATCTGGCACGACGAAAACGTGCTTTCTGGCAAGAGTGTTTTTACAAATAAAAGTTGTACCGACTACCCATCTGTCACTATCGTTTCCATGCCACGCTTTCTAGTCTGCGCCGAAAATGTGGGGCAGAGGAGTCTTTACGACACAGTATGCTTTAAAACTACCCCCCTCTCCACTCCCTTTTTTTTTAGTTGCTCCTCAAGATACTTTTTATTCCTCAGGGATTGCCTGCTCCGTATTGAGTGGTGTTCACTCGACAATTATATTTGTGTCACTTGTTAACAGTAATTCTTCCTTGCTTTAACTTTGCACCAAACTGTGAAGGTTAAACAAAATACAGGGCGGTCGAAACTTGGAGAACTTGAGAGCGACACTCCTGTGAGACTTAGAGCGGCTGCCAACGTTCGGCTATCCCCGTGAGGCCACTAGGATCTTTATTTTCAGGTATCCCTCCCGTACATCCATGTAACGTCCGACTAATACGTCACATTTAGACCCTTTCACACTTCTATTCTCGGGACAACTTTCTGAGGCAGTTCAGCAATAACGAAAACATGTTTGGGAGCCTCAATGGTGTGCATACATGTAAAATGGGTCGTGCAGCATCTTTTTTTTTTTTTTTTACCTTAAGTTCAATAAATACCGCTAAGTTGTAATCCTTGACGTTGATAACTTGCAAAAGCATCCATTAGTTTGCCCCTCCGCGAAATGGCAGACAGTCGAAAGAAAGAAATGAAACAGCTTTCTCCTGCTCAACTCACAATTAGAACTATCAGCCACGTGATCTGATCCTAATATATACACCGTCAGTGTTTATCATAGTCATACGCAGGGTTGGCAAAGCAGAGAGCATGGGCTGATCTTCAGATATAACTTTAGTTGGGCTATAATGCCCGAGCTCCACTAAAGCGACAAACAGAAACAAACGACAGCGGCTAGCCTTAAACCAGAGTATTTCGCGATTTGACAGGCTTTGTAGAATAAAGAAGGCTATGCTCAAACACGAGTATCATGCACACGATGGTACCATTTGCAGGCTTGTAAACACTCGTGCTAACGTCGCGAGCACAGAACAACTCAAAGGCGTATAAAGGTACCATCGCGAACATGCTGCATATGTCTGAGGCTTGTCGCTTTCGTTTGTTTCTGTTTCTAGCTCTAGTGGGACTCGGGCCCATCATAATCTTTGAGTTGAACACGAGCGTTACCCGAATGTTTGGCGATACTGGTTGTCATGAACCAGAGCATTTGACTCGGGATCATGACAATCGGGTACATCATGGTGTCACGTGACTCTCAGTGCGAAGTTGTGATGTCATGTGACGTCACGGTATCAACAACGTTAATAGATCTAGCGACGTCCTCAATTCGAATCGACTTAACGCGGTGAGTCACGTGACGTCACGGGGTCACGTAATGTGACATTACTTGACAGCATGTCTTGACATCATGACGTCACGTGACATTGCGACACATGGCTAATCATAGTGCCAATAAGAAAGCGCCGCAAAAAACCAGGATTTATTATACATTGCAATTCTGTATATGACGATTTGATCAATACGTAGAGGAATACACGTGCCAATAATAATAAATTTGTAATACTAACAAAAAAAAAATACCGTGAACCGTTTTGAACCGGTTACCGTTATATTTTTTTCCGGTTCAGTTCCGGTTCAGTTCCAAGATGGCGGCGAAGATTTCGGTTCGGTTCAGTTCCGGTTCGGCTAAAAATAACGGTTCTGTTCCGGTTTTCGGTTCGGTTCGGTTCCGGTTCGACACCCTGGTTCTACGTGCCAAACCAACGACGGGCATCTGGCATGCCCTAGCGGAGGACTGAGGATTGGTTTCGACTACCAAGGTATCTTATGACGTGCAACCGAAAGCTCGGTTACACGGCGCCTTTTCCACGATAAGCCTCCGTTAGATTGCGGGCACCTCAGCAGCGCTGACTTGAACAAAACTTATCGCTGGTGCAGCGGTGTATGAGAACTGTATCGCTAATATACACAGCACAAAGTCAGCATTGCACCAGCAAGGTCATTTCCAGCATTGACTAATAATGCTGAAGTAGCACCGTGGTGTAATGTGTAAACAGGCCTTTAGTGCGACATAGGCACATGCTAGGGAGTTTAGGTACTCACACTGAACACATTCGCTGCTGTATCCATTTTGCTTTGTCTTTCTTAGCTCCGTAACATTCCTCAGCTGTTCATTGACTGCTTCATGTTTCTACCATCTGCTTACATTGCAGAAAAAAACAGCTGCATTAGGCAAGTTGGACATACCTTATTTTTACTGGCAATCCTGACGGTGCCTAGGTCTTCGAGGTCAATCAGGTCGCCGCCCCCTTCTTCGTCGCTCGACGTCTCGTAGGCCGTCGGCTTCTGCAAGGGACGAATCACCGACAAGCATCACCTCACTATACGCAATTTCACGTGGGCAAAAGGACAATGTGGTAGTTCCGAGAGACTGCCATCCATGCTGCACTCTAACCACGTACTGCAACCTAGAGGAATTAAAAAACATATGCAACAAAAAAAAAAAATTTTTTTTTTGACACATTTTGGGTGGAAAAAGGATGTCATACAATGAATTTACAATGGAAAAGAAACTTTTTTAGAGCTATATTTATGGCGCGAAACGAATTTGTTGTTGGTGCCTGCGGGAGCCCGCAGAAAAGTGGCAACTAGCAGTCACTTCACTGGCTACTAGCCACATAATGCCTGTGCTTTTTCAGGAGCTAAGCACCACATGCTCTAAAAGTTACTTGTTAATCTTTGTTTTTTTTATTGCACTTCTTTTTTTAACAAAATATTTTGATGTTTCAGAAACAACAAGTCTATAAGATAATCGTCACTTCTGTTTTGACTCGCACGATAATAAAGAAAAGCTTTGCCATTTTCTATTCAAAGGGGCGCGGTGCCACTTGGTTTAGTTTCTAACATGTCGGTTCCCCCAAAGCAACCCCGCTGCTTGACGAAAGGCTGCAGTTTTCGTGACCGTCGAGCAGCGGCGGTGTTTTGGGGGAGCCGACATGTTAGAAACTAAAACATGTGACACTGCGCCCCTTCGAACAGAAAATGGCAAAGCTTTTGTTTGTTATCGTACGAGTCAAAACAGAAGTGATGATTTTCTTATACTTGCTCTTTCTCAAACATCAAAATATTTTGTTAAAAAAAGAGGTGCAACAAAAAAAGAATGTTAACGAGTAACTTTTAGATCCCATAGGAAGCTCCCAAAAGAGTGCAAGCACCACATGACTACTGGCCAGTCACGTGACTGCTAGTTGCCATTTTTCCGCAGGTCCCCGCGGGCACCAACTACAAATTTGTTTCATGCCATAAATATAGCTCTAAAAATATTGGTCTTTCATTGTAAATTAATTTCCCGGCATACTTTTTCCATCCAAAATATTTAACAAAAAAAAAACTTTTTTTTTTTCCTTCGCTTATGCTTTTTAAAAGGAATGCGGCAGAAGCGAACGACGAGCGGACGAGACCCACCTCCTCTGGTGCATCGAACTGGGTAGCACCCTTGGCACCTAATCTCAGCTGGGCAAGGAGTTGGCCCTTCCATGCTCCAAACTTGCCAGTACCTAAAAAAAGAACAAGTTCACGGGGTGCTGCGGCAAAAAGAAGCTGGCCACTGCTCACCGTATTTGCCTTCGTCCACACTCTCATCATTGAGGCACAGGGGCACCACCCGACGAGCGTGCAGCTTGGACAGCCAAAAGTCTATGTCTCTTGCAACCTGCAGAAGGAGCCCACATGAACCATAATTTTCTTAAAGGGATGCAAACCAAAAATGAATATTGCAAAACGAGGCTACAGAAGCGTTGAATGGGACGCTATGGACTCCAAAACATCACTGATACATCAATTTCCAAACGGATGGCCGCATTTTTGGAAAGGAAGGGCATGACCAAGCAAGGAATGTGAAGTCAAGATTCTATTCGAACAGTTGAAAATGAGGGGAAGCGGCCTCGCTTCTCTCCTCCTCGCTTCGGTTCACCTGCTCCTGGGGACAAAGCGAAGAGAGAAAATGAGAATTGCGACGTCACACCACATGTCTCGTCAGCCTCGTCGTTCGTGTTCAATTGAACACTTCTTTTCCAAGAACACGGCCATCCATTAGAGATATTGCTGTATGTGTGATGTTTTGGGGTTTTGCAGCGTCCCCCCTATCGCTCCAGCCCTGTTTTGTGAGCTCCAAAATTCGGTTTAGCATCTCTTTCAAGCCCGACGAGCCGTCAGAAAGAAAAAAACCACCCCTCAATTCCTCCTCTCAATTTGAGAAAGAATGGGAACTGACCCTTTCGGGAGAGGAGGAGAAAAGAGGGCAAGAGGAAATGGAGAGAGGGACACTGGGAAAAGGGATTTCTGCCTGGCAGAAGACGATCCCAAAGGTTGGCCTTTAACAAGGAATTTCTGACATAAAACTTTACCGACAAATCATCCAAGCACACACTCCTGCAAACTGGAATTTCTTAACCTAGATAAATGCCTCCATCTTCTGTGTTATTTTTAATTTGATGCCCAAAAGAGCTTTCCCGGAGTTGCCAACATGCATTCTCAGCAGCGGCAGCAGACAGGGGTTTCTCATTTCTGGTGGGATGCCACGTGGCGGTGTCGCGAGCTGGTAAAAATGTAAAGTCAAGACAGCCGCGCATTCTAACCTACTTGTCACGAGGCTGCTTCGCTGTCGGCTACAGAAAAAGAAGCGAGCGTGTGATAGTGGAGCTCTTTTTAGAAGGGCCTGGCAGTATATGGCGCCAAACGTTTGCAGAAAAGATTAATTGCAAACACGGCTCAAGATGGCTTCGTACAAGTCGCCATCGTAAGGTCGGTAGGAGACCGATCGTCGGTGATCTTGAATGTGTTTATTGCGAACCAAAAAAGGCTACCATCAATTACAACCCAATTGTTTGAGAATTAACTTTGTCATTCCAGACATTGGTGGCTTAAGACACTCGTTTATCATTAAAAATGATTCACCAGGCCCTTCACACAAATCTAAGGTTTCTGGAAAGAAAACCATGAGTCATGGCATTATATTATGCTGTGCTCACTAACAATGAAAAAAGTTAATCATCTCGTGTTTTGTGTTGGAACATATTACAAAACAGCAAGAGATTAACCCCTGAACCTTTTTTTTGTTCAGGGGAATTTCTGACCCTCAACTGCTTAATTGTTGTCTTCAAAATTACATTTTTTTTGCCTTCAAAATAATTTTTCTAGCGACAAACAAACTGGGAGCAAAGTTCGAAAAAATGCAGTGCTGTCATCTGTTGGCAGAATCTCAAACTAAGTTATGGCAGAGCCTGTTTTGTCCAAAACGATTGAGTCCGTGAAACGGGGAAAGTAGACGTGCTATACTCATCCCGAATGGTTTGGGGACGGCTCCATGTTGACGAGCTAGGCTCATACAAAACGGTTAAGGAGTTAATAATGTAAGCATATTTGCACAAGTGAAACCATATAAGAAAATATACCACCTCTTATAAGCCCAGAAAGTCAGAAGTTGGAACTTCTGCACCAAAAGCAATTTGTCACTATGTGCCTGCACAACCTCAGCCTTACTTTGTTATAATTCTCATTGAACGCAGAGTCCCCAAGCCCGTAGATTGCGTAGTCGAGCCCCTGGAGGAAGTACTTGTGGACCCTAAAGTCTGCGTATGTGTCCTTGAGCCAGTCGTAAAACCATACAGCCTCGTCCGGTGGTCCTCCGTCCACGTATGTGGACACGATGAAGATGCACAGGCCCTTTGACTTCACCTGAAACAGGAATCTCTTTTAAGCAAACATCATATGCTGTGCAATCAAACAAATTCTGTAATTTAGGTTCATAAGCAAAAAAAAAAAAAAGAATGTGTAAACAGCGTGTTGAAGATTTGAATTAGCTCTTCCCCCCTAGTGCTGCACATGCCGATCGAGTTAAAATTGTACTTCCTTGTCTCTCAGAAAAGGGCACTATGTGCCTAGACGATGACAATGTTCGAAGTAAAAAAGGAGGTTCAAGTGGTCGCCATTGCATTGAGAAAATGAACAAGAGTCGACATTACCTATATCTGTGTAAACAGCGTAAATATATATCTCGTTTCAAATATGTGTCCCACCTGACACTGAACACAGCAAGAGGTCGGCCTGCCTTTGAGGTATGGCAACACTGGTTCAGGCTCTAGGTGAGCAATTTAACCACTACAGTACAACCGTTAACCTGGGGTTTTTAATGTATGCCAGGTAGTAGTGATTACAAAACTGCATGTCTGTATGGTCCAGGGGCGGATTCAGAGGGGGGGACCGGGTGTCCTGACCCCCCTCTTGATTTCTACATGTGTAACATTTGGGGCGTAAAAGGAAGGAGAGGGGGAGGGGGTTCCTAAACATATGGTATGCTGACCAACACCTGACCCCCCCCCCCCCCCCTCAGGAAATTCCTGCATCCGCCCCTGGTATGGTCACGTAATCACTTCTGCAGCATTTACTTAGTATCAGCCCAGAACCTGTCCAATTAATGAAGTAAGCAATGAGGCAAATGGATGTCACACATTGTTGAGGGGAGTAAAAGTGATATTAGTGAACAAAAGGTAAGGGCGCAAACGAGCTGGTGGTGGTTAAACATTTCAACAAAAACCCCGAGACTGGGACAAAAAGGGACGTTTGTCCGTGTTTGACCGTCCCTTTTTGTCCCAGTCTCGGGGTTTTTGTCGAAATGTAAAAGTGATATCATGCCTTAGGACCAACACAAACCAAAGCAACAGGTAACCAGGAAGCACCCATGTCAAACCATCAATGGCATTAAATAGGAACTAATTTTAGTTTTGGCAGCCAAGTGTGAGGTCAATGTTGGCTGGTAAGTGCTCCTTAAGGGAGGACACATACCCAGGAAAAAAAAATTTATGTAAAAAAAGTTTATTTGTTTACATTTGTTAACACTGCAGAGTTGTTTTTACATGAATTCATTTCGGTCCACCGATGCTAAAGAAAAGGTTGAGGTTCAAGCACTTTGAAGGCATTTTTCTCCGTTCAACTTTTTGTCATAAATTTCACTTAAAGGTGCCCTGCAATCATATTTAAGCGTCTACCTTTTTTGCGATTTCCACGTCTCTTGGGGTTCGGGCAAGCCAGCGGGCACGGAGATAGTAACTAAATATCAGTGAGTCATATTTTAACCGGACGACGCGGAAACCTCCTCCACCTACGACGGCGACCCGCGTCGCCGAAAGCGCGCAATATGTGACGTCTTTGGTCCTGGGCTTGCTACTGATCAGAGCCGCTAAAACCTTTTTTTTTTAGACGAAATACAAAATATAATTATCGCAAAATGTTTCAATTATGTATGAAAGTAGTTTTTGTACGGTATTTTAGATCAGAAAAGAAGCAAATGCAGTTTATAAAGTATGGAAACAAGAAAAGACCTGTCGACAAACCCGCCACCAAGCGGCGGAAAAAACGGCGCATACTAGAAAAGGCTAGTGGGATGAGGCTCCGAACAACAGCGAGCGAAGAAAGGTCCCGGATGTATGCGGCGGCGCTGCGGTCGTATACCGGCTGGAGAATCCGACCGGTTCCAAGCATTCCGAAGGCTTTCGGCGCGGGCTTGGCTGGCAATTTGGCCATTTGGCGGTATGGCAGCGCGAAGTGGCTCCCGTTCTGAACTGATCTTTACACCGTGTTTGCTGTCGTTTGTGGCCAATGAAGTGTTATGCCAAATTAGTCTTTGATCGCGCAGCAAATGCAATGCGAGCCGGCCTGGCCGCCCGCTTCATACAGCCTCTCCAACATGTGCTTTAGTGACGCCCTTTCGAGCCGTCGACACGGAGTACGGCAACCATGAGCGCTCGATCAGCTCACTACCCCTCCTCTAGTTCACGGCCACTCAAGCCAGGACCTACGACGTCATGAAGGAGGTTATTTTTTGCTTGTTTTTGTAATTCTAATTTGCCTATAACTTTTAAAATAAAGCGAAATTTGAGAAAAGAAAAGTTTCTTTAAGTTACTACGTTCAGTGCGCTCAGGTTCGGTGCAAATTAAGAACCAGTCAAAAAGTTGTTGCGGAGCCCCTTTAATAAAATCTACTGTTTCAAACAAACTATCGAGACTTAATATTTGCGGCTCATACATTGAAATTTTATGCAGACCATCTTTTTGAAATTAGAATTTGCATTTTCATGTTCCTTTATTATGAAAAATTGTAATTAACAAAACTTAATAAATGTAAAAAAAGAATTTTTAAAAAATCAATTTCTTTTTTATTTGAAAAATGAATATTTTCTGAAAATTCTTGTCTCAGTAGCCGGCAACAGGTATTTAAGTATGCATTCCACCAGAAAAATATGTGGTTATCAACATCATTTCTCAACGATAGATTCATTGAGCAGATTCAATGCTTTAATTTGTTCTGCGGGTATAGTACCTTATAAAACTGGTTCACAGGGCTGAAACTTTGCATGCCCTGCTTCTATATGGCTATGAACACCACCTGCAAATATCACGCCGATTGAGTGAGCGGTTCAGAAGTCGATAGCAGCCAGACGGAAGTGTACGAACCAGCCTTGGGTAGTTCACCTAAGGACTGCGGTTTCGCTCAGTCTCGGGTGGAAGTCAATTTATACTTACGGGTGCTTACCGGTTTGTTTTAGGGTGCACCGTTTACCAATAGTCGGTTTGTCACTGCCCTTCATTATAAATCTTCGAATGGTTGCGACGTGTGGCTTTGTCTTCGCTCTTCCAGGGTGTCCCGTCGGCTCGTGCTCGATGAGAGTGTCGAGCACGAGTCAGCGGCCCTGAAGAGGGGTGCGTTTATGCAAAGGCAGCTGCCCTCTTTAAGATATTCCATCACACTATTTCCCCCGAACCTGTGTAGTTCGCTCAGCTAGACTTAGTATGTAACACTGTAGACATCCCAGAAAAAGGTATTACAATATAAAAAAGCTTAGTTCCACTACATATATTTATAGCCAGTATCTATTAGCGGAACAATGTGAGCAGCTGTGCTCACACTTTTATTTTAGTTTTTTTTTTTTTTTTTTTTTTTGTGTACACAATGTTTTTTTTTTTTTTTTAATGCACGTTAGTATGTCAAGACCTCATCAAGCTGCAGCTTTTTACCCGGATTTCCTCCTTTTTGTACAAAGCCAAATTGTTATTAACAACTTTTTAACACCTGGGGCATAAATTGCTAATTCCGCCTTCAGGAAGACATAAGCATGTGCAGGAGCCAATCCAGTTCACACCAGAAGCATCCTGACAAAACGCAGCAGTAATGTTCAACAAACCCATACCTGTGCATGGACAAGTCAAGCCCATCCACAGATGCGAAAAGGACAAAAGATATGCTCCCAGAAGATGAATTTCGCCATAGATAAAAACATACTTCGACTGACCTGACCACTAACTTTATAGTAATGAAAAAAAGAGGGAGAGACACTTCATTTTAAGACAACTCCTAGTCCGAGTCGTTGTTCCACAGTAACGAGGACTTACGGGTGATTTATAAAACAGCTTTGAAGTTCCCTCTCAACTGGTTGATAAGAGACACTGCCGTGACAGAATTAACTCTCGTGGCACCGACTTTGAGAACTGGTTAAACTACAGGCGGGAAAGAATTCAGGTCATAGTCCAGAGGTCAAAATTAGAGACACTAAATGAGCTACATCTAGAGCAGGGGTGGCCAGAGTGGCACGGGGTTAGAGCCACAGAAAACCACAATAGTTCAGAGAGCTGCAGGAAAAACAAAAAGGGAGGGGGAGCCTGTGCTATTTTGAACAAGAAGCGATATGGAGGGAACAGTCCTTTGGGAAGTGGACAAGTATAATTGTCGACCACAACAAATAACACCCAACAGCAGAATGTTTCTTCAACTGCTAGGCAAAATTAATGCAAGGTTCACTAGCCAGCCACTGATCACCTCGACGCCTGTTATGCGTGTACGGCTCGAACTTCTTTCTAGAACAATAAAGGAAAAGGGTCACTGGACAGACCTATATCTCAAAAAGCAGTCCAGCTGTACATATATGTAGTGTAGCACAAGGCTGCCAAGACTGAGTTTTTTTTTAAATTCTAGAACTCTTTTCATTTTGGGGACACAGGAGGGGAAGGGGGCACGCTTACCAGGGAGCAGCGAGACTCACTTGAACTCGTGAAGAGCCGCACGCAACTCAAGAGCCGCAGTTTGGCCACCCCTGGTCTAGAGTATCGGCATTCCGCTTCCCAATCTTTCTCGAGGGCGCCGCCATTTTGGTGCTTGGTGCAGAGCGGGTGAAACTGGCGATTGCGACGTCTCAAACATGCGAGTTCCTGAGCACTAGATGTGGTGCCAGGAAGCTACGGCGGTACCGTCTTGCTCTGTCACGAACTGCTTTGACATTTCTAGAGGTTGGAATACCGTTTCCTACGATATCAAATAAAGCTTCTGACAACTAGCAACAATGATTTCTGGCACCAAGATGGCTGAAGCGTCGTTACTTTGGAGCATAGCTAATATTGCCTCCTACATTCACGTAGACTCCCCTCAGTTTGTGCTGGCACCCACCTGCCCTAGGAGGCATTCTTCAGGCTCGATGTGTTTCAAGTTGACAATCTCGACATCGTGATTGAGCGCCTCCAATTCTGCCAACAGTTTTTCGGACAGAATCTGGAAAGAAAAATTATCTCGGCCTTCAGGAAACACAGAAAGCGGGGCACACTGGCAATATATTTCATGCAAAATCTTGCGTCAATATTTTTTTTTTTTTTTTTTATTATACAGAAGTGAATTTTTTTTTATATGCCAGTATGACAGACGATACCTTTGCATTCCCGGTTTGGGTTCCGTATAAAATTTTGATGGACCTGCCATCAGGATTTTTTTTCTTTTTCTTGACGTGCGAGTCGGACTGTAACGACAACAAAGAGGTAAACTAGAGTCCGATGCGGAGGCCAGTGGGTGCGATCAGATTTGGGGTTACACACCTGGATTTTCGAAAACTTAAATTTTTCTCGTACGACGACGAAAAACAGGACCATCACGACGCCACCGCAGAGAGTTGTGGCGAAGCTACTCGGAAGCCAGCCGCTTGTCCAGTGCTCGGACACGACCTCTGGAACGCCGGGAAGCATAAAGAAAGATCACGACCGAGAATCGCACGTGATATGCGAGGTTAGACATGACAAAAATGCGATCTCGTAGAAGAGCAACGACGGAAATGCGTTCCGTGGTGCGCACTTGCCTCTTCCATTTGCAGGTGCGGCGAAGACGATGCACAACACGATTTCGATCATGGTAACTTGGGCTACACACACGAACGTTAGCTGTCACGTACACAAAACAGAAGGACTCGTAAACACATCATGTCGCATTGCCAACTCAAAAAACGGGCAGGGGAAAAGGGACACGCACAGCCGGCGTAGCTGGCAAAGCTTCTCGGTACTTCTCGGCGTCAAGGCGGTCTCGGCTTCTACGCTACGTCTTCGCTCCCGGCGCTCCCTCTCCTGTGGTTTATGAGTTTATGGTAGCGCCATTGATGATGATGATAGCGGAACAGAACAGTCACAGCGTTCCCAGCGTTCACGGAATGCGCGACCAGCCAGCCCGCCTTTTTGATCGTAATAACTCTATGCTTTTAATCCTTACTCATAGAGTTATTAATAACAACTCTGCGATCGTACCGCGGTACTAAATTTAAAGATATTCATAAATTATCGCGTGATTAGTACGAAAACGGCTGGACGTCTCGTCGTCTCGTTGCGAGCGTCTCGCGCTAATGCGTGGCTAATGCCAACGTTACGCTAATGCATATGCACCATATGCACAGACCAGCACAAACTATGGATATTTACGGTCCCTGACAAGACGATAGCGGCAGGGCCTCCTTGGTATACCGGGTATACCCAGCCAACAGCATGCGCTCGTTGCCTTCCGTCGTGCTTCGACCGCGCATGCCCCGAAGTCCACTGAGACGCCTTAGCGCCTTAGTAGGAAGATCGCGCTGGAAGAGGGTCCACAATTAATGCGAATATATTAACCGTAAGGGGCCTTAATTAACCGGAACCGGCGGCGTCTGTCACCGCGAAAAACGGCCAAGAAATTCCCATTCTCCCATTGGCCAAGCTAAACGGCGTCTCACTAAAACCGTGCAGTACAATCGAAGCTACGTGGAGAGAGTGTACCCCGACTTGTTCAAATGGAGGGGAAGGAGGAATGGGGGAATCCCAGCCCTGCCAGCTTTTTTTTCCCGTTCCTTCTTTCCCTCCTCTTGAACAGGTTGGCATACGCTCTCCCTTGTAGATTTGACTGTACTGCACGGTTTTAGTGAGACGAAGCATAAATTCCCATTGGCTGCCTCGCGCAGAGCTGTGGCCCGCGGCGCCGGTAAAAAAAAAAAAGGGGCGAGGGGTGGGGGGATGAATTCCCGGTCCTTGCGTGTCCTACGCTCTGCTTTCAGCAGTGTCGCGCCGCAGAGGACAAAGGGGCGCGCTGCTTGCAGGAATGCGCTATGTGTAAAAATGCTTTTTCATTCCTACACGTCAGCAATCCAAATGTCCTGTAATTTTTTTTGTTTAGTGCCCAACAAAATATGCCTGCAAGCAAAACAAATAACCCTTAAGGCCCGTTCACACTCTTGCGACCGACTTCGACCGAGAGAGACCAGGCCAGTTTTTAAGCCTTTTGAAACTTCTTAGGACCGGATGCGCTGCAGCGGAGCTGGTTCTAAGAGATCGCAAGAGGCTTAAAAACTGGTCTGGTCTCTCTCGGTCGGAGTCGGTCGCAAGAGTGTGAACGGGCCTTTAGTACCACATTAGTAAATCAAATGCACACCATTGGCGGCACAAAATATCTTTTATTAAAACTGAGAACTTGTACCTCCAAAGTAGCGAGACTAGATATAAAGGCAACCAAGATTTGCAAACCAAATGGGAATACTGTATGATGGGAGCTCGCAGAGAAGGAAGTACCTAATTCAATCATGCATACACCTTGTAACGTACAGTACAAGCAAAGGCAATGCCAGGCGAGGGGAGAAAGAGCAAGCACTAGGAAGGCTGGTGAGGAGGAGAGAAGCCTCCTCTCCTTTCTAACGTAGCTCTCCTCTCCCGACCGCCTTCCTTGTGCTCGCTTTTTCCCTCTTTACTCGGTGTTGCCTTTGCCTGCACTGCACCGGTTAAGAGTTCAGGGCGAGGAAAAAGAAAGCTGGAGAGGAGGAAGCAGATAGATTATTGGAGAGGAGGAAACATACCCCTCTCTTCACCATTCTGTCTGCTTCCACCCTTCCACTATGGTGCCTAGAACGCGTCTCGGACTGGTGTTTACCATGTCCAAAAAATTGGACCCTCCCTTTCCGCCTGAAGACGTCGTAGAAGTGTCATGCTGTCGCCAGTCGCGATCCTGGCGGCGTACCAACAGCTGTGGTATATGTGGCAGACGCCTGTTCTGCTGCGGGTCGCTCTTCAGTGTGGCGGTCCATGGAAGCTTCGGGAGCCAGAAGTTGGGACGCCGTGATGACATCGACACTTGCATTTGGTTGTGCTACTTGCAGCTTCTCGTTGGCATTTCTATGACCAACCGCCAGGATCACGACACGCAACAGTATGACACTTCGGCTTCTGTGAGGTCATTTGTTGCCACTTCAAGACCACTTCTGATGCATGGGCTATGGGCAGCATAGGACGCCAAACACACCGGTCGAAGACGCGCTCCAGGCACCATACTTCTATCTCCCTAGCCTTCCTTTCCCTCGAGCTTCGCACCTTGTAAACGTCACGGTAATGTGAGCTTGGAAAAGCAAATATAAAGAATGGAATTGCACAGGTGGTAGTTTCAGAAACTACTTTTGAGACATTGATGAGGAAACAATGTATAATTTCAAGCACGTTTGAAAAAAAGAAAAAAAAAACAAGCAAGAAAAACTGCACTTTTTTGAAAATGTGCCTTTCAGCAAACAAAAGTCTGTCTGCTTTTGCAACTAAGAAAGAAATAGATGCTGACAGAAGCCCGATACACTAAAAAGGCGGCTTGTAAATAACACCAAGAATGCAACTACATTCATGGGCAGTTTTAGATGGACACCTTCAGGAACGAGTTTCTGAAGATGTCCTGGTTGTTTTACATCTTGCATCACTTTGTCACGGCATGACATCAAGATTGCATGAACTCCGACCAGCTCCCTCATGCGGTCAGAGAGAGCACAGGCTTTCATCGGGCAGAAAAATAAACAAAGTGCAGCCCACCCTTCCAAGTCTGCCGATCACACGCCATCTACCACAGCCACAAAAGACCGCGGTCATCCTGCTTTAAATGTATGGGACTGGCAATAAGTTGGTCCTTTATGCATGCTCTTCTTTAAAGCAACTACGAGGCTTACACAAGTTGAACTTATAACAAATAGAGATGGTTATCTGATGCTCAAAGCATTGAGCATGCCCATCCAGCAGTGAATAGACCTTTTCTGAAAGTCCACAAAGCCACACTGGCGGCAGCCATATTTTGGGTATCGCTACCTGCGCAGGCGTGCGAATGCATTCGAATTCACAACGAGCACTGATGCAGCGCTCGTGTCTAATGCATGCTCAGAGTATGTGCATGTCCGAAATATGGCTGCCTTGGATAATCGACACAACAGTTACTCGAGTGCGCACACTTTTGAAAAGGGTCAATTACAATGTTCAAACTCCAAGTACTGTAAAAAAAAAAAAAAGGCACTCAGTTTAGGTTGGACTGCAGTTACCCCAAATTACCTTCCAAAAGATGACAAAAGCACTGTTTGCTTAGATTTGTCCACTCCAACCATGTAAACCAAAGGAAAAAGAAATATAAGCTGCTAAAGCAATCAAGCACCTGCTAACCCAACCTAGCCTAATGATAACTTCGAGGGGCAGTCTACCAAAAAAAGTCTTGCGTCGTGATCACGTCGAAGTGTTCGACTCGATCCAGATCACCTCAACCAGGGTCGCTGGAGGTGATTCTCAATAGCACTGATCAAATGGTTTCTGTACTACTTCTTTCCGACTACTACAAGGAACGAGAGTAGGTCACACATGTGGGAAGGGGTGAGAAGGAGTAACAAAGAGGCAACAGCATGCACTAATCCCCTTGATGTGTTTGTGTTCGTCTTGAATGTAGCGTAAAATGTGCCAGTGCTCCAGACCTGTGCCTTGTGCGTTCCTTGGAAGCAAATGATGGCACAGCACTGAAATGAGCGGACCTTGGATGAGAATGGCGGTGGAGCACTCGCTCATGGCACATGCCTTCTGCATTCTTACAACAATGGCTGTCGGCACTTGTAAGAAACGCGAAACATGATTTCTATCAAGGGGTTTCAGCGTGGACAATTGTAGTAGTACAGCACAGGGAATTTCTGAAGTACGTAAAAAAAGGCGCTTAATCCCAAGAGAGCATTTCAATGTCTAGCCTTCAAACAACAGGTTTAAAGTCTGACATTTCTCTTTGTAAGTTGGCAGGGAACAAACTCTTGGGCTCTTCATGTATCAACAAAATATGCTAGCCATTGGCTGGAGCAGTCTTAACTTCTCAAGACGACTCAACCTAAAATTTTCGTCAGTAATAACGTCATCCACACTCTTAGCGGCAAACCCAACATTTATCCAATTCTCCGAAAACAGAGTACACCGAGAGGCTGGAGATGAGCTTAGCCCCCGACGACGAAAGCGACGTGATCCGCGCATACCCACTTTTGTAAAATGCCACCGCACAGGGAAAGCGGCGGGATTCTACCCACGGCATACCGAAGTTTGGTCTTCGGCTTCCATACGATGACGAACAGTATGCGCACTGCAAGAGTACAAGACAATGTAATGCCCTTGCGAAAGCAGCGTGCACACCCTGGTTTAAAAAGGTCAAAGAGCAGATGATGCAGGCACTCTGGCACAAACTGCCCACACGCCACACTAACGGCTTTCCTCAATGTGCCTTATCATGAAACGTGCCTCCGTGATTGTGGCCCGAGCGAGACCGCCCCAGATTTCGGTCACTCCTTGAGGACGTGGCTCTTTGTCGTGCGACTCTGTCCGGGGGGTTCGTCGGCGTAGCAGTGCTTGGCCGAAGGATCCCTGTACGAATTCTCGTGGTGCACGCTCTGCAGGACACAACACAGGGCGGTAAGCAGATAGCGCCATGGCACACTGCACTTGCCAGTCATATAGGCTGTGCAGTTGATGGAAGGAGCAATGTGAGCTGCACCTAGAAGAGCCAGGTTTAATCTCCAAGCTGAACTAATAAGGAAGTGTGAAAGCGTGGTGGCGATGCCGTCTTTACTTGTAATGGTGTACCATGACGGTAATTGTTTTTCTTTTCTGTAGGATCAAAGCTGCTGTTCTATACTTTGTGCCTGGGATCCATTCTAAACTGTCTAATAGACTTAGGCATAGCTATATGTCGTGCGTATCAGGGCTAAACGTTCCCCAATGATGCACTCAATAAATACAAAACATTAGAAAGTAAGAAGCACATTAACAGATTTTAGAGACCTACAGACAGAGAGACCTACAGCTGGCACAATGAGAAAGAAAAAAAAATATGAGGTGTCATAAGATGCTCCGCTCCGTGTAATGACGATACATACAGAATGCTTTTTTCAGGATTTAGATTGTTATAAAAAAAATCGGTGAAAGTAACACCAATGCGTTCTGTGCAGGCAAGTTTTACACCCAGGTGGACGTAATATTGGGGCTTAATCGACACAATATGTCAAAAAATTAACTAAACTTTGCCAATTACCTTTTCAATTAGTGAAAATAAACTGTTCTAATTAAAAACTTGCTGAACATGAACAACCACCAAATCATTAAATTATATTAAAAATCAGTAAATTTTAGAAAGACCGCTCGTGCATGCAACAGGCGCAAGGCTGGTGGTGCGGAAACGCAGATCATAATTTTATGATTCACGTTTATTACCACCTCAATTTCTCATGAACCCACTCCCTCCAGATGATATGAGCTGCAACCATGGAGGTAGAAAGGAAAGGAGGTGACATACCGGCTCAAGCCGGCCAAATGAGAAAATCCAAAGTGAAGCCGGAAGTAGAGATGCGGTCAATGGGAACATTTCCAAGGGTGACCAAAACCTGTTAAAACTGCTGCTGGCGTCGAATCAGTTGTCCTTTCCATCCAATAGCGTCTTTTGATTTCGGTCATCATTGGGGGTGTGCCCCTCCAAACCGGAAGTCTCCCCCCGCTTCACGTCTGGTGGCGTCATGTCGCCTCCAGAAGCTTCCTACCACCATGGCTGCAACCCTCGATCTGGCTTGCAGTCCCCACAAGCTCTATAACTCTCTCAATCTGTCGCAGAGTTTAGTGACTGCAACCCACACTTCATGCTTTAGTCCTTGTCTGAACTGCAGCATTTCTGAAAACTGGCAGGCATACCAGAGGAGCATGATGTTCATAGCGTACATGACAGAACATCATCTGCAAATGTCTGCCGTGTAAACATAACAAAATAAAACTAAGACACAAGAAACGCAAAGTTGGATGTGTGCAGAACATGAAGGAGAAGCCTTTTGCCTGGGACCTTGGGCAGACCACAAACCAAACAGATGGGTAAAAGGGCAAGGGGAGAAGAGACAGAGAGCTACTAAGAAGAGGGTGGAAAAGTAACACTGATGCAAAAGGAAGGACAAAATAACTCTCAGGTCAAAATGGCAGTAAATTTTTGCATTTTCCATATGAATGGGGCCCGGCTAATGTAGACACCTGCGAGTGGTGTTGACAACGAGATTGCTTAGATAGGCTGCTATGCCTGATCGTGCATTGAGAATATAATAAGTGTGACCTGATTCCAAAAATAAAAAAAAAGGGGAGAGTAAAAAAATACAGAAACAGAAAGAGTCTCAGGGTTCTGAGCTGTCATTAGATGCCCAGGTCACCTGCATGCTTTCACCAAATTCAATATTAGCGACAAATGCCCTAGTGATACACCTCGCTCAGTGCACCCACTGATTAAACATTGCACTTCGAGAAGGCATATAAATTAAAAGAGTGCAGTGCAAAAGTTCACAATTAGTTTACGGCTCATATTTTATGTCATACTAACATCAAACAATGAGCTAGCAACCATCAAAGAAAAAAAGGTTCTTACATTAACTTGCAAAAAAAGGCAGAAGACCAATGAAAATTTGTCACTTACTTCCGAGGATGTCCTGCACTTTGTGAGGCACAACTCAAAGTGATCCGTGATGGAGGCTACTAGCATTTTGAATGTTTCCGAAGCTTTGCCCATAATCTTTTGAAGCAGTGCAATCTAAAAAAAAAAAGGTCAAAAGATAGTTTTATTAAACATAAGTTTCCCATATTCAAAACTTGGAACACAATTACATCCAATCACTGCAAAAAAAGAGCATGAGATACCCTTTCATAGTCACCAAGGTCAGTTAAGGCCTTATTTGAAAATCCACTAACAACCCCAAAATCGAAAGAGTAAATCAAATATCTGCATCCTCCCACCCAAACAGAGCTCCTCCTCTCTTCTTTCTTTAACAACACCGAAGGCTAAGGCATTTTGCAGCAATTTAGAGACAACACGAGTGTGCAACAATCATTAATGACATTTGTGAAATATGTCCTTACAGTGACTGCAATTGCACTATGCCGTTGTCTTGGTAATACAGAAACTCTGAGCCTGGAAGTGTTTGTGATAAGGCATAGACAGTCTTCTGGTTTCCTTTCTTCTTAATTTCAATGTGGCGGTGCACAGAGGCTGCGACAAGGGCGTCAAGGGGACGGGGATCGTGCGAAAGACGGCGACAGCTCGGGCGAGTTCTTTTTTTTCTCGGGTGCCAAATAACTTCTCGGACTTCTAGAGAGAAATTTTCAAGGGATCAAGAAGTTTAGATGGTCCCTCTCATCGCCCACCAAAGCCTGCAACATGTCGGTTTTCTCTTCGTCTCTTTAAAAAGCATTCCAGACCGATCATGTACAACACTGCTCAAGGAAGAAGCTCAGACCGAAAAGTTGCACGTCGCATGCACGCGGCGAAATGACACTCGGCAAATTTCGTGCAAATTACTTGCGCTGTTGGCCAGTTTGCAGGCACAACTGCCCGTGATCGATCGTAGGGGAAAAGAGAAAATTAAACGACACCTCCGGTTTTAAGTTATTCAAAAAGGCGAGGAGTGCACCATTTAACTATTTACATTATTAATTGGGGCAGAAACCTCAAACCAGGCTTTTCGAAAGTATCTTTTCTCTTCATACACGCCACTCCCGAGTTTAAGTATTTGAGGATGATGTCTAGGGATCATTTCCTGTCGTTTGCAATGATAAAAAAATATAGATGTTGGGGTTGTCGGTGGCCCTTTAGGAAACAAGCAAGAGAGGCAAAGGGCATGGGAAATGCTGCATTATGCTTTGCACCAATGTGCCAAGCCAAAACAGTATGACGATTACTGGATTCGTAATATTATGAAACCAATTCCTGTCAATCTGATCCCCCGTCAAATCTGGCTCATATTCCTGATTTAGAAGTGCAAATTGCACGCTCCAAAAGTTACACGCTAGTGGTAGTGCCTTCGTGGTGTGGGTTCCCTAACAACGAAGGAAGTTTGTTGTCAGAAAAGACGCCCTATTGAAATTGGCTTTTTTTATAAATTTAATTTCCTATAGTTACAGGGCTTGTAATACAGTTAATATTGATCTAGACATCAATAATGGCAACACTGTCTCAAGCGGCCAAACGAAAAAGAGCAAAGATTGTATGTTCGATTCTGATGTACTTAGGGTGACCACCCTTTCCGCGTCCTGCGAGAAATTCCAAAATCTTCAAAATGTCCCGCATTTCACACTGTCGTAAAATTCACTCAGCACATCGTGATGCTGCCGAACAATGGGGCATGGGGAAGCGCGGAGGTTGCCGGTAATCGTGTGAATCGAAATGGTACGCCATTTTTTATCCAAGCATTGCGGGAAGCGACCATCGCTATTGCAGGAGAACTTATGTGCATGCGCCTCTCCCTTTGGTGGCAAAATATTGTAAGAAAAATTGCTTGCCAAAAGTTTAAACATAAAATATCATAATTATTTTCAAATAGCTGTGTCAATTCAAAAGGGTTGCTATGGATTTTTTTTTTTTTAGTGAAGACAGCCACAATTGCAACAGCCGGAAAAGAATGTAATGTTAAAAATTTGTGTAGGACCATGCTGATAAAAGTAGGCATTAACAGGAAACAATAACCCGGAGAAGATTTACCGTTTCTTATTTTCATTTGATACATTGAATTCTGATACAGTTGATTTTTATGTTTTCAACTTCGACACATTTAATAACATGTTTGACATTAAACAAATACATCACTGGGAGAGGAAATTATTCGAGCTAAATTGCTGTAATACAATTACCACGTGTATAAACAGTACAGCATGATATAACTGTAAGCAGAGCCTTGGTTCGTTCTGTGTGTAATATTAAACTTCCCCTCCTCTCCCCCCCCCCCCCCCCCCTACCCTACCCTACCCTACCCTACCCTACCCTACCCTACCCTACCCTACCCTACCCTACCCTACCCTACCCTACCCTACCCTACCCTACCCTACCCTACCCTACCCTACCCTACCCTACCCTACCCTACCCTACCCTACCCTACCCTACCCTACCCTACCCTACCCTACCCTACCCTACCCTACCCTACCCTACCCTACCCTACCCTACCCTACCCTACCCTACCCTACCCTACCCTACCCTACCCTACCCTACCCTACCCTACCCCACCCCACCCCACCCCACCCCACCCCACCCCCTCCCCCACCGTGTCCCGCATTTCACTAGCAGGAAGGTGGTCCACCCTAGCTCTACTTTCACTTGCAATTGTGCCTTGCTGTCGGCTTTCCCACGCAATTTTTTGACCAGTCTTCCGTGCTAACGTTGTACTTGTGCAGAAGAAACATTGTTAAGTGCGAGCCTTATTTTAGTGAAGTACAGGGTGTTTCAAATAGTGGCCAGGCTCTTTAAAGCAACCGCAAAAATTGGTTTCACTTTTGTGCGACGATTTTGTGCAATGTTGCCCACAGGTGGTGTATTTTTTTTATAAAATTTGCAAAGAGTGAACTTACCCAAGCAAAAAGTAACAAAAGAAAAAGGCTTAACCCCTATGGAAACATAGCAAAGCCACCGGTCTTCATACAATAGGGCGTCGTTTGGCACAGGAGACAAGAGATGGCGCAAGCGGTCGCGATGCCAACTGCCGCCAACAAACGATCGGTGCCGAGAGCCGGCGTCATTAGCAGACAATCTTTTCAACTCAAAAGCAGCGCGCATTTGGCAGGCGGCGACAGTTGCGGAATTACAAACAGGCGCGGTAATATCAAGGAACTGCAAAGCAAACAACATAAGTACTCCTCAAATAAACAACAAAAAAAAGGCACTAACTATGGTGAGGGGGCCCGTCACTGTAGTGCAGCCGGCAAAAGTGAGGGTGTCTCGTCACTGTAGTGCGGTAGGCAAACGTAAGGGGCCCCGTCCCCCAGTGCGGTGTATGTCTAACGAAACGGTGAGAGTGCTTATAATTTATACGTGCTTTAACCTAAGCACCTGCCCCTTCCTCCCGTGTTAACACACACGGCTGACAATTCGATCATGCGTCATCATTGAAAGTTACAAAGGGCCCGTCACTGTAGTGCAGCCGGCAAAAGTGAGGGGGTCCCGTCACTGTAGTGCGGTAGGCAAAAGTGAGGGGGTCCCGCACCCTAATGCGGCCGGCAAGAGTGAGGGGGCCCGTCCTGCGTTGTATGAGGTGGGAACAGTGAGAATTAATAACTAGTAATTTACAAGCACATTAACCCACGCTTCGCGGTCCTGTCCCTGTCCCTACACGTACCGTAAAATACCGGGCAAGCGTCCACTCAAAATTTGGAGATAATCGTGAAAAAATGAGGGATGGGCACTTGTCCGGTCACCAATTTTACATATAAATGTACTGTGCATATTTTCTCAGATCTTACAAATTTGGGTATGGGTGCTTAATGTGGAAGGGGCGAATGCGCGGTATTCCACGGTAAATATAGCGTCTGTGACCTAAATAAAAAAAAAAAAAAAAGTGGGAAAAAAAAAAAAGTGAAAAAAAAAAAAAAAGTATTGTTTAGAACGCGATTTGAACCGTAGACCCCCAGCTCGTGAAGCCGACGCTGTACCTCAGCGCCACGAAGCACTTCCGGAATGGGGTATCCATTGGACATCTGTATCGGTTGCTGTTGCCCCGTCACCATAGTGCAGTTTCTAAAGTGAGGGGCCCCGTCACCGTAGTCAGTTAAAAAAAAAAACAGTCAAAGACATTTGCTTAACTATTTTTTTAATAAATTATCTGCCCATTCAATGTGTTTTATTATTAAGGATGATAAAACCACGCATTGGCAACTGACGTCAAAAAAGCTCGCGCTGCTTTTGAGTAGAAGTTATCGTCTCCTATATGATACCGACTCTCAATGCCGTAGGCTCGTCCGTTAGCGGCACTTGGCGTCGCGATCACTTGCGCCATTTCTTGTCTCCCATGCCAAACGGCGCCCTACTGTTTGAAAACCGGTGGCTTCGCTGTGTTTCCATGGGATTTAAGCCTTTTTTGTTTTTTACTTTTTCCTCAGGTAAGTTCACACTTTGCAAATTTCCTAGAAAAAATGACCGCATCTCCACATGGTGAATGATGTTGATTGGGGCAAAGCTCTGGTGGTGCTGATGATACTGATTTTGTTCATAGGTAGCGCTGAGTTCCGGGTTGCGTTTCGACTTCATTATTACTGCTTTATGGTCAGTGAAATGCAGAGCCAGTAGTACTTCTAGCGGATCAGCTTGGAACCGCTAGAAGCCGTGGGAATGCATCTCCACCGCTTAAGTCAACGGTCCATGTCAGAAAGAGGATGTGTGGTAGGGATCGTGGTTATACACCAACTCATCTCTGCGACGTCACGGCGCGGTGGTGGCGCGTCGGTCGCACTTTCGGTCTGGGGCTGTGGGCAGAAGTCCCCATGCCAGACGTGTATTCCTGCGTTGTTTTGAAGGGAACCAGACAAAAACCTGCCTTCTCGTCAAAACGCCGCGACTGGGGCCGTACCAAAAGAGTCGAGAAAGGTTTGAAAGTCAGTTTTCACGTGCTCGGTTTGTCCGAGAATCTGGATATGTGCCGTGAAAAGGGAAAAGCAGACGCCGTCGGACAACGACTGCTTGAGCGGAAAGCACTTTGGGTTGAATTCACGGATACTTGTGGTCATCTGATTTATTTGTTTTATTCTAGCATGAACGCCAGAAAACCATCAAGTTGTGCGGACTTGCGGACAATGTTCAGTGCGTCTTCAAGTTCAAACGGCCGCCTGATCGTTCGAACTGTCGTCTGCTCTTTCAAACGTTTCTGCTTGTCAGTCTGCTCTCTTAGGCGACGCCGGCCCATAGATTAAATGTTGGCCCGGTACTTGCGATAAGAAGTAAGTGCAGGCCTCAAAAGACACAAGTTTGAAGGTTGGTAAGCAGGCTCGATGTAAACAGTAAATACAAGGAGATGTTGATCATTATTACGAGTGACCATCACTGACTTGCTATGCCTAATTGCCTTCGTCCGATTCTGCTTGCGATTTTCAGTATCGACGTCGACTATCTCAGCTACGGTTCACGCTTTTGCAGCCCGAGCGGCGTCGCGACTGAAAATTGCGAGCGAAATCTCATCATGCGAATCAGGTTTTAGCGTACATACTGAACGTCCACGCGGAATGAATCGCCACATGTCACATTATTCACGCGAAGTTTCGCGGTGTAACGAGCCTCGGTAATTTCGCTGACGCCGCTCAAGTAGTCAGACATCGCCAGGAAGTTGTAGAATCAACAATTCGAACATGAAAAAGAGCAGGGGGACTCACACCGACGCCGAAAACATTGCATTTCAAAGGTTTGTTTATGGGTGACGGCGAGCTTCTTGCCCACACCCCCATCGCGCATGCGCGGCGCTGGTGGCGCCCACTAGGGGCGCTCCGGTTTGTTTGTAAACATGAGTTGGTGTATATACGCAGTTGAGCATTTGACCGCGGCGCCCTCTCGTCTATCTATAAACGTTGAGCCAATGCATGCAAAGTTTAACACGATTATAAACACATTTGACCACAGCGCCCTCTCCTGTATGGACGTTGAGCGGCTACATGCAACGTTAAAGTGTAGCGTAGTGGTTAAGACGTCTGCGTCGTAAGCAAGCGGTCCCGAGTTTGAACCTTCGTGCGGGCATACGTTTCTTTTTTTAAAAGCGGGCTGATCCCGGATGCAGTGCAATCGATGTGAGCACGGACGCCGGACGGACAAGGCTAGACCCTAAGGAGGTTCGCCCCTAAAATGCACCACCTCTGGGCAACTCCGCGCAAAATCGTAGTGCGATAGGTTAAGAAAACGAATTTTGCGGTCGATTTGAAGAGCTTGGTCGCCATTTAAGACACACTGTAGTTACGCCAAATCCCGTGAAAAAGTAAAAAAAACGAAATGCCAAAGAACCGGAAACACAAATTCAAAGTTTTGAAATGTCGAACGTTAAAGCAAAGACAAGATGAGAGACGGAAGAAGTCTGACCTTTTGAGGCTGCATGCAGCAGGATATGCAGTACTCGTAGATGCTGCAGCAACCATTGGCCTGACACGTGTCGCAACAATAGCGCTTTGTGTTGGGCGATTCAACAATGCAGCAGCCTGTTGACGCCACCTCGGACCTTTGGCACACGTAACCTGGAAAAATTGCGGCACCACTCAAAACAGCCCGCACGTCTCCGGTGAAATTCAAGGACTGCCCGTACGACAAATGCAACCGCAATCTCCCAAAATACAGCTTAGCATATGGAAAGTGTGTTCCTGAAAAATATTTATTTACCTTTTTTTTTTCTTTTTTTTTCACAACAAAAATAATTGTTGTACTGGTAGTCTGGTTCGGACCGCTAGCGCCACATCTAGGCGGAGACGGCGCGTTCGGTGATGGGTAGTTTATTTTTATGGCGTAAAAAACAACATTGTATACATTTTGCCAGGGACACAAACTCTCAAGAACAAGCCCCACTAACTTTCTGTAGCATACGCACAGCTGCACTTTGACAACTTGTCCATGACATTTATGTCGTTCATCATCATAGTTTTGAGCAGACTAAGAAAAAAAAAGAAAATAAGAGAACTCTGCCTTCCTGCGCTGATCACAACAGCAGCTCGGGGTTCCTTTCTAGACGTGTGCGAGCAGTACAGGCCAATAACGCTTGGATGACAATACCCCAAAGCCATCATTTTTTTTCTTCATTAAAAACTTTGTTTTTGAAGCTTCAGCATGCTGTCAGGATCAATCAAAGTCGTTTATTGATACCGATATTCTTTATTTAGATCTTGAAAAAAGTCGTCGCCACAGAAACACCGACATGTCCACTGACACGACAAAAGCCGTCTTTGAGCTGTCCCTCTCAGCTCGAATTCAAGCGCTCCGTTGCACAAACGATTTCCTGATGGTTTACCTCGGTCGTCGGCTACGAGCACTTTTCCTTGAACAGAGTTCCGGCAGGAGATCGTAGCGCTCGAGTTCTTGTCTTTTTCTTCGTGCCACTTAAACGAGCTGGGCGGCAGAGAAATGCGTTTGATGCTGTCGCTGGTCTCATTGCCAAAAGCGCCCTAAAAGAGATAAGGCCGGCCTTCAGCGAGAAATAAACAAACAAAAAGAAATACCACATCGGGAAGTTTCAAGTTGCGCACATTTCAAAACGGTCTTCATCATTCAACATCTGTCGCCTGATAACGACGGTTTCGAACCCACACCGCCCACACCTCGTGCACCAAACTGTCAAAAACCGGGGTACTTTGTGTGGCCAAAAATGTGCGCCCATACGAGTTAAGGCAATACGCACCTCGTTGATGAGCGACGACAGGCAGTACAGAAGCGATACGCAGAAAATGACAGCTAGCACGATCCTCTTCTTCAGAAACCTTACGATGACCTTAGTGAACATTTAACTAAGTCTCGGGAAGTGGTGCAAACACCATAGTTACGGACGCAGGCGATTGTTTCTTCACGGAAAAAAGGTCATCACTGCTTGAATAGCGCGAAGAGTTCGCAGGACCGTAGGCCTGCTCGCTCCATCAACGCCTCTGCACTCTTCCTTCTGTACGCGTGCGCCCGATCAGCGCTAGCCCGATGAGCAAAGGGGCAAAGGCACATACAAACATCAGATGCTTCATAACTCCATTCACCCGACTAGAGTCGACTGATGTCACGATTATTTTGCAACCGAGACCGCCGATACTGCATTGTGGACATGCGTGCCAGTGTAATGATAAATGTAAATGGCCCGACTTAAATTAAATTTGATTATATGTTGCTCGAGAGTATAAAGTTGTCTCGAAAATTGGTTTTAAACCACATAAGCTAGATGGCGCAAGTCAACTTTTTAGCTATCATTGTTTTTATTATTATAACGCAACTTTCGCTACCCACAAATATCTGAGACGGACTAAGAAAACTGGCGTAACATAATACCCAACGATAATACCAAAAATCCTCGGAATTTTTAACAACTTTTATGGCTATCACCAGCAAGCTGAGCAAGCCCGTTTCGATCGTTCTGCCTGGTACGTACATCTATTTATTGATACTTTCTTCAAAAATCACCATCATCATTTCGCATGTGGTTTGAAGGGAAACCGGCAGTACGTTGTTTGAATGTGTTGCTCGTGAGCGTGTTACCTACATTTTGTTGCAAGAGTCCCTTCGTGAAGCTGTCACGATGTTTACTCCTCGCCGAGGGGGTTCGAGAAGCAGTCCGTTCGTGACGACGACGCCAGCTCTGTTGTCCAGAAGTCGCCTCAGCGCCACGCCGTCAACACCTTTTGGACGCTCGCCGCGAACGCCCGGGTAAGTTTGATTTCGTCCGCGGTTAGTGTCGTTTGTAGTACCAAAGCCTCCAGGTAGCACAAACATTTCGCGCTTTCAGTGGATGTATTAATGGCCACTGATCGTTAACGTAATTCCGGAGGCTTCTTACGTTTCTCTGTATCTGCATCCGACAACATGTCGCAAAGAGGGGATTTAAATGCCCGATAGGCTTAGGGAAATGAACGCTGTTGTTTCGACGGTCGTTTTTTACAGGTTTCTTTCGCAGAGCCAGCATTTGGACAGCTCGCTTCACAGGTCCGAAATCTTGGAGGAGACGGCCGACCATGTTGTCGAAATCTTCGGCGCTGATCTGCCGGTTCTCGTGGGCGAAGCCATCGTCAAGGCCGAGCGTGAGTAACGATGCAGAGTTGTAGACGACTGAAACGAATGCAAGACCACCACTCGTCAGGCTCGTCGGAGCCACACCTCAGCGCTCACACACACACTGTCGGTTTAAGTCGCTTGACAGTTAAGCGCGATCTCGTGAGTAGAATTACTATTGGCGACTCCAGCAAAATCGACGCCGCGTAGCGGGAACGCCGAGAAACTCGAGAGGAGGTCGTTTCGACTCTGTCGTCTGCTATCGCTGCTTGGTTCTCGTAGGCAGCATGGAAACAAACATAATTTCCAGTAATTATTTTTATGCTTCCGCCGTGTCATTCCTATGCACTGACTAAAAGAAGGTTTCTACCATTAAAAAATCGCTTTGCTTTCATATTTAACACCCATTTTATGCTGCAGTGTAAGAAATTTATGGTGGTCCGTGTGCTGAATGACGAAAACGACCTCCTTTAGTTTGCCATTTTACCTGACCAGCGCGCCCCCTATAGTTCGCTGTAGTCACGAATATTCCCGAGAGTGACGACTCTCCCAAGAACTTGAAACGCAGCAGTCGTGTCCGTCCTGGCCCTGGGGAGCACCATTCTCTCCCACCCAAGTAATTCCAACAATCATTCCGAGGTTAGCCACTGCGTGACGCAGTACCATAAAATCCCGAGAGATGCCCCACCCCCGAAAGATAGCCCACGCCTATTTTTGGCTTGATTTGCTATATTTTTTTAAGTACCAAAAGGTAGCCCACCGCTAGTAATCGTAGTGTTGGGATCAATGATGGCCTCGACTTAAATGCAGCTAGTTATCTATGGCGGGATATTAGCGAACATTGCTTGCTGCGAAGTACAGTCATCTTTGCTTCGTTGCCCCTCGTCACCAGAACAAGCTTGGAAGGGACACATGACATAAAAATTGAATTTTTTAAATTTTTCTTGATTATACACCGAAAGTTAGCCCACTCCATATCTTCACCCGATTTGATCTCGATTTTAGGTGGGCTATCTCTCAGGATTTTACCGTATCTGTCACAGAACTTGTAGTCGAAATTAAAATAATCTGGATCGACAAAGTGACGTCCAGCTCTACCAACCTCCCCCATGCATGAAATCGCGGCAGTCCATTCCAGCCTTGCTCTCAGCGGCTCATCGTGACAACTGCGCCATGTGTGGTATTTTTGCCGCTCCAGCCGGCACTACGACGAGCCAGTTCATTTTGATGCCGACTGTACATAGGGTGTTACGGTGTACTTTCCAGTGCCTCTGTATCGGATATCTTTCACACAGTTACAATCCTGGCTCCAAGGCAAAGTGCCGGCCCACGGATGCCCATCTTCGCTGAAGTGCCTGCAAGCTGGCAGAGGCTAATTGCGGAGGTGGTGCCGTGTAACCAGAAGCATGCGAGCATTAGTGGGCCTGCTACGAAAGTCACCCTTGAGCTGGTTACAATGTCAAAACATTGTTACATTTTACCAGACATCATCTCGGAATTTTCGATAGAACACAAGTGCCGAAGAACGCGACTCCCATGAAACGAGTTGCTGATTAGCAGAGTTTTAGTCGATAGCCAGACCGTGCTCAACCACCAGTCCGACCACGTCCCCCCATCCTTATGTGGAGGGGGGTATGTCTGATCACGTGACTTAATAATTAAAATGATAGCCGATAGGATTGCGTCCCTCCACATAAGGCGTTGCACTTGTAGGCTGCATTAAGGTTGCGAAGCACCGTAAACGTCTGCAAGTGACCGCATTCTTTAAATTTGGAGACCACTCACGCTTTAATTTGGCCAATAGAAGGTGATATTAACAACACAATAGTAGAGTAATAAGCCCATTGTAGAGACACATTGGTGGCATCAGAGGCTGCTTACAATGTTCTTGCTGCGTTGTCCAGTAGCAAAACTGGTCCTTCCGAAATATATGCATTTGCCGTTTGAACATTTGGAAAGTGAGGCACGTGCTATATTTCTCACGTTGTCGGTGTAACCAAGCCTCCAGGACGCACTCGTTGCCCGACTCCAAGCACTATGCTCGCACTTAAGGCTGAGCATCTACTCGGTTCTTAAAACTGTATACGGTAGCACTTTATTATTATCCCTGCCGCTTTTTTTCAGCGGGAACTGACATTAATGCCCGGATATCGAGTTCTGGCTGGGCATGGCTCGTCTGTGGCCGGAAGCTTTTTGTGTGGCAGTACGAGCAGGATGCGCGCAACAGGAGGGTGAGTGGTTCGTTCATTGCAATTCTATCGGGTTGAGGGGGCCAGTATATTCCACGGTCCACCGGACCATTGTTTTCATTTAATCGGGACATTTCCGAGTACAGAATTACATTCTTACCAAGGCTGACTCAGCTCTTTTGTTATCTGAAGTGTGCTTTTGGAGGGACTGGGCAGAGTTGGCCGCCTGCCAAACACCTGTGCCCTTCACGAACTGCGCATATTTGCACGCGTCGTGCGTCGACACGTTAGGCTCGTTCGATTTACGTGCACCTCTTGCACCTGTGCAGAAAAGTGTAGGGTAGTGTACTTCCGGTCGTATCTAAAAACACATACCGAAACTACACTGTCCTACACTTGTCTGCATTGGTGCAGAAGGTGCAGGTAATTTGAATAAACTATTATGAGTTGTCTCACATAGGACTCTCTATCTTTAGTCTCAGTCTGTGTGTCTGTGCATCCTCCGTGTGGTCCCAAGAAAAAGGGCATGCGGTGATTCTGCATTTGATGGTTTGATCAACGTATTAAAATACAGCCGCCAATTTTTTTTAGAAGATATGGTTTTATGTTTTTTTTTAAGGGGAACATTTTGCACCGAGGACTGGCCTCATCCCTTTTGATCGCCACTTGGTTTGAAAAGACTGTTGGATTGTTCCTCTTTTCTGAATGCTTCAGTTCTCAGGGCCTTCCGGGGCAAAAGCAACACTGCAGTGATCTTGAACTGTCTCTTTGTGCACTTGAGAAAGTGTCACTCTCGTGGCTGCCACCTCGGGTGTCACTTTGCCACGGGGCTTTCGAGCTGCGGGGAAAGTGCTAAGATATCATTGCAAGAGATTTTGATAATGTTAGAAAACTTTTCTATACCGCTAATCTGCTCAAAGGTACACCAATGTTCAAATGTTTGAATTATATCTCTGACTGTTATCTAACCTAAAAAAAAGAAAAAAAAAAGTGAAGAATTTATAAAAAAAAAATGAATGCAGTCATTAACGGATATTGCACATTGTAGGAGGTTGGATATAATGAAGCACAGTATGTGACACACAGTTACCACATGTGCAACATCAGTGCTTTTTTACATTTTACTCGTATGATATAGTGACCAGCACCATAATTTAGGACGGAAGTCGGCCCGCGACTCGCTGTGACGCGGCCCCCAAGCATCAGGCGGCTGCAAACTTTCGTTCCCATGTCTCAAGCGCCATATGCGTCGTAAATAATGGTCTCTTGTCGTAATTTATATTGCTTAAAAAACATAGCTCTGCATTTATAACGTGTTTACATATTTTTCTCTATTCAGTTTCCTTCGGGCTCAGTATCTTTTTGCCTTAATTTTTGCTTTTGAGCTTCTTCTCATGTTAATCACCTGTACGACAATAACTATGCTGCAAGTGTGAGCTCTTTAGGGCGCACCTCGGCTCCACAAACTCTTGCTTAGTAGGAGCAACTTCAAGCGATAGAGCTATGAACTTCAGTTTCTAGAAGTAAAATAACGCAATTAAAACGCAAGAATTGCCTGAAAATGCTGTTATAAAAATTATCAGGCAAGCATAAACCATGGTATTAAGTTTTTCTTTAAAGAAATGTTGAAATTGATCAATTCTGAGAAAGTTGAGCGACACGGCAACGAGAGTGTGCTTGCTCTTTTGTTCCATTAACAAATGCAAGCAAGTTAGCAGTCTGGTGAACTTTTACATTTTGTCATCACATCAGGAATGGGCTTAAAGTAATCGCATTAGGAAATCAAAGCTATGAACGCAAGTTTACAAAAAGCAGAGAGCACGAGGTCCTTTTTTTTTTTTAGAAAATCTCAAATGTGTTACTGAGAGGCTTTGCAAAGTGAAAACCACCACAGTTAGTTTTTTTTTTTTGTGTTAAAATATAATCCCCCCCCCTTTCCTCTCTCTTTCTGCATTGGCCCTCAACCTTTTCGTAGTTGGCTATCTGGCCCACACACCCAGGGGTGGAACGGCTGCGCCATTTGCGCCATTTTGCGCCAGACGCATTTGTCTGCGCCATCCTGCGCCATTTTGCGGAAACTGCGCCACAGCCAATACATCGCGCCATTGTGCTCCAAATCGCTGAACGTGCGCCCAATTTTTTTTTTTTTCATTTTGTCTTGGTTTCGGTTTTTATCGACTCGATTGGCAACAATGAGCGCGTTTAGCTTGGTCGGCCTTGCAATCCTTTGTTCTGTTTATTCTTCCTTTGTATCCCAATTCCCGAGTCGGAAGCGCGCGAAAAAACTCGGGGTTCCAATTCCAAGTGCTACACCACCTGCGACTGGATTGTTGTTCTTCAACCATAAGCGGCTAAGCAAGTCGGTCGAGAAGAGGTAAAGCCGTTAAGCGTCAGATTACCTGACGCTCTGCGGCCCGGGTTCCGGAAGTCAGCCAGTTGAAAACACATTAGCAAACGATTCCTTTTAGTACTTCTTCGTTAGAAGTTGGAACCGCATTCCTGCAAGATAAATCGTGATTTAATAGAACTGAAACGCAGTCCGATCCGAAACCTTGCCGGCCAGCAGCTCTCACGCGAGCGATAGATCTTGCTTGATAAACCTTGCTCCTGCTTATCGCTAAGAACACGATAACTCCGTTAATCGTAGTCTGCTGCTTCAATATTGAGTTATACAATAGTATAAACTCGGAATTTGTTGCCCTGTTCCTCCGCGCAACTGCACGTCCGTTTCTCACGCACGTCACGTGGTTCGCACATATAATTACCATCTCGAACAGGTGTGAGTTGTGCCATAAGCAGTGCTGGTTTGCATTTTGAGCAGTTGAAAGCCACTCAGAAAATATCAAGGACACTATCTGCAGAAACATATGGTACTTGCTTTTTGGTTCTCATTAAGGCTCACAAAGTTTCAAGTTTTCGCATCTGTTACACTGTTATCCCACCTACATAGGTCCCTAACCACCATCTGTGTTGTTCTTTTGTGCTGCTAAGCACAACTGAAATTGCTCCCGTGCTTGTCTAAAACACAAGCTGAAGTGCAATGAAAACTGATCTGAGCTGCTCCTAGCCTGCTCCAGAACATCGTTTTAGCTACTCCCAAGCTGCTTTAAAACAGCTGTTTCAGCTGCTCCCGTGGCTGCTCCCAAGTACATTTCATGAGTTCCACCCCTGCACACCCGAATGAGTTTGAGACCCCTGATTTATGGCCTAAGTCGGTTCGACAACACCCCTCCCCCCAATAGTGGAACATTCTGTTCCCCTATTAGTTTTGGTGAGCAACTTTCAGTTACACGACAAAAATGTATACAGCAAACAGCTGCTTGTTCGTGCTAACCAACGTTACTCGATCAACTTAGTTGGCAAACTCCCACGGAGAGCGTGATCCCTTCTTGTATCCCTCAGCCGGCCTCGCGCTGTTTGAAGCACCAACCTTCTTGTTCGCTGCAGTGCGTCTTGCAACAGCAGTTCAAAACACGGCTGCAGCGGGAAAGAAGAATGACGCTTCAAACTGCATTTTCGAATCTACGGGTTATCAGCAGCAACTGGTGTGTGTCAGCTCATGTCTTAGAAGAGATCACGCTCTCCATGGGAGTTTGACAACTGAGTTGATCGAGTAACTTTGGTGCTAACTGGGTCACACTGTGCACTTGTCCAAATTTTATGAAACAAGGGTCAGAATTTGCAGTCCTGAAAGAATCTGTTCAGCAGTCGATTGGTACCGCTGTTCATTGAGCGCTGTTCATTGAGCAACAAACGATTGGTACCGCTGTTCATTCAGCGTTGCCGTAGCGAATTGTTTAAAGGCTGCTCCACTACTTTTGCACCCGCCATTTGCAACTGTGGAGCTTATCTAAGCTTATCACCTGAGCAAAAAATGCTGAGTCACTGGGCTGTGGATGCATGAGCGGCATTGATATTCAGCATAAAAAAGGTACTGTACGTGCTCGGAATGCGTTTCACAGCCCAGTAGACAAATATGGTTGCTCACAGAAGGTGATTGCCAGAACGATCTATAAACAGGCATCCTGCTCTAGGTTATTGGCCCTGCTTTTTTCCTGTGGAGACAAGAGCCCATAGAAATAGTACCCGTATTAATCTCCTTTTAAACAGCTGTTTTTGGGAAAATTTGGTATGTAAATCACACCTTTGTATAATTTGCCCCTAAATATTTGTACGGCCGGTACGGCGAAGCTGCATTGAGATCCTACATATGTGCATTATGATTGCAGGAGAGAGCAAGTTTCAATATTCTCATCGACGAATCGAAAGAGAAAAATAACCCCCTGTTCCAAACTACTGCAGTTAAGGTCCATACTTCTAGGGAAAAAAAAAAGGCACGCAAGTCTTATAAGATGCACAGACGGAAATTTCGGAAAAAAACTGTGACTTAAAGGCTAAAAAGATATGGTGTAGGCCCTTGCCACGGGTGGAACATTTTCGCGACGACGTTTCTCCATGTTCTTGGGTGCACTCGCAGTGTCGGATGCTGATGCTCCCACCGAGCGACCTCGCACACCGGGCGGACTTGGCATGCATTCTCCTACGAGACGGGCTCGCCCCCGCCGCCCTGGCAGTGTCTCCTGCGGGGATCTTGCGCTATTGGCCCAACATTGCCCACGAGGGCTCCTCGACGGATGCCCTGGCCGACTTGCAGGGAGAAGAGTGCTGCTCCCTCACGGACCTTCAGGTATCGTCCCTCAACCCTCCACCGACGTCTCGGTGATCACCCTCAGTGGTTACCGTAACTCATTTAGACGTTTCAGTGACTTCCTCGTACAGTTCCCATCTGTAACGTCGCGACTGGAATAATTAATTACTAGCTACAATCTTGACGGTGTGCGTAAAGCGCACGGTGGAATCTCGTAGTCCCTGCCGTCATAGTTGACCGTCCAACATCCTTCGTATTTCCGTCGGCAAAAGTAGAATTCGTCTTACTCCAGACTTTGTGGCGAGTGTTTTGCCAGCCGTGGGAGGCCAATTGGGGTGACGCTTTTGTTCGGGCACATCGCCAGTAGTCGCCGACAGAACGAGAACGGCAGGGAGGAGCTTCACCTTCGACACTCTTCGACATCTTGCGAGCCTCGAACGTGCACATTCTGTTTAGCGACTCTGCGAATATTTCCACACCCCTACGAGTGCCCTTCGCATTCTCCTTGGGTTTCGGCACCGGTCCTATTGGCGAGGAGACCAAACTATAGGTAGGACTTTGTCCAGCTCTTTTTCTAGGGATCTCGACTTTTACCTGACGCGAGGCCATCGGACTGCATTCTTTATGTTGTCCTTTTCTATTGAGTATGGGTCACGGGTTGTGCACAAGGGGTAGTGTCGAGCCCCGGTTGAACGCTGATATGTTGAGTGGGCCAAACGTGAAATACGAACATTAATTTATGTCGTTGTTGTCCCTACGGGTTTACTTCCCAACTTTGCTACTAGGGGCACGACGGTTTGATTTCCTTCCCAATACTTTGTCTCTCCCTACGATGGACTACGGCCGGAGCTACAAGCTGCCGCATCCAGTCACGAGCCAGTTAAAAACCACGCGGGATGTTGCTCCGACGTGTCTAACGGAGTGGCGCACCTTCATGCGCCTCTGGGCGGTGTACCGCGGCGTGCTTTTTAAATGGCTCGTGATCGGACCTGGTGGCCCATAGCTTTGGACGTTGTCCATGATGGGGCATGACTGAATATAGTGTCTTTGGGAGACGGGTAAGGGAATTGAAGGTTCACGCATGGTCTACGCCGCAGGAGTCAGCTTGAAGTATGGTTAGTGCGTAAATCACCCGGGCGGTATACAGGTTTCAAAGGCCGATTCAGCCTTTTATTTTGTATGTTGCACATTGTAAACAACTTTGTGTTTGTCGGCTTCATATTCCACTCATTTTTGTAAGTGCCTCGGTGCTAAATTGTTTCTTGAGAACATTATAGTAGAGTTGGGGGTACTAGGGATAAGAATGTATTATTCCACGTGCAGTGCCTTTTTGCGAGAAGGAACTGCCCTGTGCAGTTTCTTGTCGCAATAAACTTTCAATGGCTCTTTTGAATTGTTATGCTATTACAAGGAATAGGTCATTTATAGTAAGTCGCTCGGTGTGTACAATGCCATCGACTTCTAAATAAAAACATTGAGGTTTTAGGATCCCTATGAGCTTGGCATACTCTCTCACACAGGCATTGGGAAGCTGAGAAAACCATATTCATTGTACAAGTTGTGATGCGAAGTTGGGCTCCTATTTCAGCGTTTTGCACAGTGGGTGGAGGTGAAGGAATTGAACGACAGTATTTTTTTTCTTGCAGCCTATCGGTTGTGTCCTTGCAACGACCACAAGTTCCCTGATGCTGGTGACTCCAACCGCGGTCGAGGGCCAGGTACGTGGAGTGTAGCAGTGCGACACATTAGGGCAGAAGGCATACTCTGGTTTCGGCACAGTTTGGCCCATTGAACCTTTGGTCATCAAATAGTCGAAGTCTGGCAACAGGCCTTAAATGTGCTGCAAAATGTTTGAGGCATGAGCATGCCTCTTTGTTTTTTTACAACCGTCTTCCAGAAATTTTGGAACCACCCTTCATTCCATTTTAAAGTAAAGAAGTAAAAAAATTTGGAATTGTGCTAAATTAGTTGTCAAGTCTCCAACTTTGTGTGAATCAGTTTGCCTCAGTGAGGACTTGCCCTTGTTGGAATTAACCTGGAAATCTTTCCGTGAAACAGACAACGCTGGTGTTCAAACCGCTGCGGGCGCCCCAGGGCATCTTGGCAGGGATTGGACGACGCGTGTCTTCCTTCATCTTCGGAGCCATGCCCTCTCAGTCGTCTGAAGTGGTGGGTGTCTCGTAATCTGCTTGCGCTGCTCCTGGCGTGGAGATTTTATTACACTTGAACGTGTCTATAGCGAGCACAGCAAATTTTTTAGGAAGAATGTTTGCTGTATAAGACCTTAAAGGGGCTACGGAATGATTTTTCAACTTTTTCCTTCTTAGCATTCCTTTTCAACTCACAAATTATGCAGTGTACCAAACAACAGCTCAGGAAGAGGGAAAGAAGGAACTCCTTTTTGCTCAGAGCCTCGTTTGTGCAACTGGACATCTCCATTCTCCCCCTAGAACATGAGCTCGTCGCTCAAAATTCAAACAAAAGTTGCTTTGCCCTCTTCGTTGACCCCAAAGCTGACAGTGCTGTGGAAGCTACATGCTCGGGCCAGCCCGAAAGGGAGGCTGCTAATTGGTCCGGCAAGTGCATAGCTCCCACTGCACTGTTCACTTAGGGGTGACGGGAATATAGTGAGGTCGGGTACCGTGTGACGTGCGTTGGGGATGAGTGACATGCTTTGGGTACCGCGGATGTATCGCAGTGAAAAGGCAGAGAGCTTTCGAAGGGAAGGAGGTACAAAATAGTCTGCCATGTTTTAAAATTTTCATACCGAAAATCTGGCTTTTGACTTTCTACTTTTCTCTTTGCTCACTAAACGATATGCTATTGCAGTCAAATCTCGTTAATTCAAACTCGAAGGGGACCGAAAATTTGTTTGAATAAAGCAAAGTTAGAATTATTGGGAGTATCCCCCTATCGAGACATATAATTCAAACGAATACCTGCATATTAGTTTGAATTATCCGCAAGTTTGAATTAACGAGATTTGACTGTGGTAAAATTCCAGTCTAAATTCATTTGTCCGAGCCCAAAATATGTTTCATGGCCCCTTTAAACGTCTGTATCAGTGTTACGAGCATACTTCACCTTTTCTTCGCTAAATTCATATCCTTACTGTAGCGTCATTTTTTTATTAGGCTCATTCAGTTTACCTGCACCAGCCTACACTGGTGCGGAAAAGTTCCTAGCAGTGTACTTCCCGTATCCGTTAGAAGATAATCTGCAATTATAAACGGAATGCGGCGTCATTTACAAATGCAGCTGGTGCAGGGAGAGGTGATAAATCAAAGAAGCCTAGTATAGAAAGATTTTGCTATAGTTTGTGGACTAGCGTGGCTTTTTAAGGGTTTTACTACCCCTCTTTAAGCATGCTACAGTTCTCGGAGGCATGCTCTACAGCGTCTTGTCTTGAGAAGCTAGCAACTGTCTCCTAAATTGCATAAGTAGTTACACATCATAGAAAGCAAAATTCTTGTCCCAAGGTGTCAGGGTAGGGCAGGTAAGGCTTTTATACTGGTGCATGAACCCTCATCGCTAAACAGTGGTGAAAGCAAACCATGCTTTATATAAACAGACTGACCCTAGAAAGAAGCGGACATATGTAGATAATTTCGAGGCAAGCTTCAAAAATGCCGTGACTGCACACATCGTGCCCAAACACGTATTACAACTGCTTCAGAAGTGTATAGACGAGAAGGGGCATGATTGGTTTGTTTTCAGCCTGTTTTTGATGCACAATTCCTCGTGTCACAACAGATTTTGAACTTCCTAGTGCGTGCAAGCTTTGGAGGCAAACATCCTTGCTGTTTTATTTCTTTCAGCGCCATCTAGTGAAAGTTCTGGCTGAGCCTTTGGAAGACGAAGAGGAGAAATACTTGTACGTCCTGATGCGCAACAGTGTTCAGAAGTGGTACCTCGAAGACGGAAGCCCAGAGAAGGTAAAACAACTCGTTGACACGTGCACCCAAAGTAATGCCCCCTCACTGTGCTAAATGTGTCATAGTTTGTTGTAAGCAGGCTACCACTTGCATTTCATTTTTTTGTCAAGCATACATTTACACTTGAATGATATTTATTTATTTATTTTTAATAGGAAACTGTGTAATTAAACTCAGAATTTTGGAGAATCGAGAATCAAAGAAAAATAAACTCAAGTAAGATGTGAATTTTCGGCAAAACAAACTCGGAAGAACACCATCCGAATTTGAAGAAAAATAAACTCAGAAAACACAGAACCTTACTTATTCGCCTTGAAATCGAACCGTGTCGCCACCGTGCGGCCGAAATTAAAAAAACATGCAAAAGCGGGGTAGTGCCGTGCGTTGTCTGCTATGGGCGCACATTTAGAAGCAGGGATTTCGATGACGCAAGCCCCTTTCTGGCTGAGCTGAGCCCTCCTCATTAAATGCTTGTTGTTTTTTGTTGTCCTTTCTTCCTACTAAATGTTGTGTTGTATCGTTTCACGTGCGTGGAAATTCAGCAAAGCGATTATTATTAAGGAGGGACATGAGCCTAAACTTCAAATTAAAAAAAAAAAGAAAATGTTCATTTACTAAATTTTTGGTTTTCGGTTTTAGAAATAAATTATACACCCTTACACTAAATTTGATAACCATACGCCGAATAGTTATGTTTATATAAAATATTTTCAACAGATTGTGAGGCAGTACTAACAAAGTAAAGGAGTTCAATGTTTCAATGCATTTTTCTGATTTCCACTTTTTGCTGCAAATTTCATATGAAGGAATCTTTCGCTCAAAGGTAAAAGTATTCTGATACTACAACCAAATGTTTCTGAACTGAAATTTACTGGCAAATCGGGCTATCTATTTTATTCTGTTTTACTAAGTTGAGTCCTTATTGAGAAAAAACTGTGTTTTTAAAATTGACATTACCGTATTTACTCGCAGAATGAACACACTTTTTTTTCTGAAAAATTGATGCAAAGTTGGGGGGGGGGGGGGGGGGCGTTAATTACGTGAAGTAAAATTTTTGCGTCCGTATTTACTCGTATAATGAACGGACCTTTTATCCTGAAAAATCAACGTAACTTCTTATCTCTTTGTGGGCGGCGCGCGACCCCGTAATTAAACTGGGCTGTGAAAAAAAAAAAAAAAAAAAAGCTCCTTTTTTTTTTTTTTTTTCTGTGTTTTTTTTTGTTTTCCGCCTTCGCAAGCTGTTTTGTTTGCTTAGGCGTTGCTTAGGCGAGGGCTCCACTGTAGGAAATCAGTATGGTGACACACATAAAATCGTTTGAGCATGTTTTATGAGCTCTAAGATATAGTGTATAAAATGTTTAGTGGTGGCCTGCTTACAACGAACTATGACACATTTAGCACAGTGGAGGGGGGGGGGGGGGGGGCATTACTTTAACGGACACATGCAAAGGAAAAAAACATTTTTCAAAACAGCTTAGATGGAAAAAGAATGTCATAAAACAATTTTACAACCAAGAAAAAAAAATTTTTAGAGCTATATTTACGGCGATATACGAATTTGTAGTTGGCGCCCGCCAGCGCCGCGGAAGAGTGGCCCTTGTTTATCACGTGACTGGCCCTTATTTATCACGTGGTGCTTGCGCTCTTTGGGAAGCTTCGTATGGCGTCTAAAATTAACTTATTCATCTTTGTTTGAAGTATAACAAAAAACTAATATTAATAGGTAACTTTTAGAGCCCAAAGGAAACTCCTGAAAAAGCGCAAGCAGACGTGATAGACCTATGCGCCGGTCGGACGACGGCGGCGGCGCCCCGAAGCAGACGAACTTGCGCGGCGGCGGCGGCGGCGGCGGCGACGGTGGCGTGGAGAAACGCGTTAAAGCGGCGTTCGCACAACGCTCAGCAGCGGCGGCAGCGCGATTTTGCGGGTAGCGGCGATGCAGCGCGGCGGCGCGCGGGCCTACCATGTGATTAGCGGCGGCACCCGCGGCGCCAACTAAAAATTCGCATAGCACCGTAAATATAGCTCTAAAATATTTTTTCTTCGTTGTAAAATCGTTTTAGGACATCCTTTTTCCATCTAAGCTGTTAAAAAAAAATGTTTTTTTCCTTTGCATGTGTCCTTTAAGAAAAACAATGAGAGCCTTTCCTTTTGTCCTGCTGCCAAACAATAGTTTTCCCAAAGTGAAATTTATGTCAAAAAATGGAACGGAGAAAAACTTGTTCAAAGTGCTCGAACCTCTACCTTTCCTTTAGCATCAGTGGACCGAAAATTATTTATAAAAAAATAACTATGCAGTGTAAAGCAATGAAACTTCCTGGGAATACTCTCTAGATGTTGGTGAATGTAAATATGACATTTTTCAAAATCAACAATCAAATCTTATTTCTGAAATTTCTTTCTTTCGGTAGTGTCCCAGCGAGTTTGGCAGACAAGAGCATGAAGATGGGACTAACTCTAGTCCCATTCTCGCCTTCTTGTCCTTACCTATTCTTTGCACTATTTATTGTGTATAATGCTTAACTAACTAGCCCATCCTAATAATTGATCAAGTTCAAGAGGCTGGCATATGCTTTTTGTGACGTTTTTCATCTTTCTGGTCTTTGTTCAAGCTTTGCTGCGAGTATGATCTGGATCGTCCCATGAAGGAGCAGTTCCACAGTGCCCTGTGGGTATGTACGATCTGCTCGGCTATGCCGACCAGCGATTTCAAAATGAGGAGGAGTGTCTCCTTTGGTCATCTTGTGTGCTTCGAACCATGCTAGTCTGTCCAGTGGGCTGAACCCTCATAATGGGAACATTGTTATGCTAGTTGGACAAAGGCCACAATGAAAACAATACTTTTTTTTTCTGAACAGTAATGGTTTTCCCCTTGTGTAGGATCGGGAGGATACGCTCCCAAGGCTCCTGAAGGCCTGGTGCATCGACATGCAGTTGACAACGTAAGGCCCCCCTTTCAGAATGACAGGCTTCTGCTGTTTCCTGGTTCAGCTCCTGTACATTGTAATTGTTCCACTCTTTTGTTGCCATAATCTAGGAACGGAGTGACGGTGCTGATGGCTGCCCTGAATCCACAGGTGTCTCAGCAATTGCATTTTGCCCTTGGTGAGATATTAATTTTACTTCCAGTTAATGAGGTTGAAAATGGGAAGGCAAAAAAATGGTGCCCTAGTAGCAGATTTTAAGCTTGGTCTCAATCATCTTGGACCTCTTTCGAAATTGCCAAACACTGAGAGGCATACTAAATCATGCAGTTAGTTACCTCGCCTGCTAAGCTTCTTGTAGTAAGAATCTAGAGTTCATAACTTACCTACCATCTAGCAGGACATGCACAAATAGTGATTTTGAAGTTTCTGCCTTTTTCTGCTGAAGGGGGCCATCCCGTGCGGTGTGTGAGCCTATGCTCCCAGCATGTTTCTCTTTGGTTGAGTAGTTTTTCAACCTGAGGTAGCGGGGGTGCAGTTCCTGCTAGCCAGCACTGTTAGTGGTGGCTCTACTTGGGTAGATTGTTCAGCGCTAGGTCTTGTGGTGAGGTTGTCTCGCTGCAAGTCTATCTGTGTGCTATAACATACAGCGAGTGTATGGTATACATTGAACAAAGAAACGTGGAAAAGAACAACACACACCCATGCACAGGTGCCTTCTGGATGAGAGGGTCCCGCTTATAGACAGTGGTCCTCCTTTTTTTTTTTTTCCACTCTGCAGCTGCCCTTTCATGTGTCGCTATCTTGCAGTCGTCTTGCCACATGCTCTTAGTGAGCACATGCCATTAAAGCCAGTCTCCTCTGGGCACTTGCAGTACTATTTGATTCTGGTGGCATGTTCAGCGGTATACCAAATATTTTCGAGGAAGGGTCCTTGAAAACGAAAGGCTGTTTCTTTGACTGCTACTACACTTCATTTTACAAACATTCTTTGACTGCTACTACACTTCATTTTACAAACATTTGCAGTGTTGACAGGGGTATGGGCGCAAGCACGGGACTTTGGAAAGTGTCTTCTATGCTTGAGTTCTTTTACGAACAAAGCATTCTGTTGAGGTAGGCTTGCGTGCCTGTGCCTTTGTCGGCACAGTGGACATTTTTGAGATGAGGTATAAGTAGCGTCCTTTTTTTTTTTTCAGGTTTTACATTTTTTTTATAAATTTGGGGTTAAAAATTGGGCACTTTGTTCCAAGTTGGTAATTGGAGAGGAATGTTTTTTAAGAAATTATTTTTGCAATTTGGGTTTTTCGTGTTCATATTCAGAAATCAATATGTATAGCAATGAAGAGCAGGGATCAGTTCGAGTAAGTTGAATATTTTTTCGCCACCAAGCCATCAAAGTTCACAGGACAGCATCCTAACATATAAGAGCTTACCCAGCCTTTTAGACTCTTTATAAGGCATTGTTGCCTACATATAATTATCTGCATATGTGACGTCTCCGTCTTCATCCTATACACTTGTCCGGTTTTTTTGCATATCCGATTTGAGAGAGCATTTTCTCAACTTCACAGTTTTTGCAACACACAACAATGTCACTGGCATCTGCTCCTCCTGCCGAAACGAAGTTGATCATCCTTTTTTTTTTGTTCTTTTTTGGTGCTAGTTGAAAAGAAAGGGAAGGAGGTCAGAGGATAATTGGCAATATACATAAAAACAACATATTGGGACGCGAAGTGTCACTGCAGTTCAACAAAGTCAACAGAATCTAGCATTGTTTCTCTGGTCTGGAGCTGGCATTTGTGTTCCTGCCAACTTTTTGTTTCATAGAAAATATTTTCGGAGCAAGGGAATGCGGAAAATGGTGGAATTAATTTTCTAAATTCGTGTAAAGATCGTGTTCAGCCAGACTCTCAAAGGTTACGTTCAATGCGTAAATATTGGAAAATGTCGGGTTTTATCAGAGAACGAAGGACCCCAGGTATGAGTAGCAGGAGGAAACTTTTTGCGAGCCATCTGCAGTAGCGTTCGAGCTTGCGTCTTGTCCCCCACCGAAGGTACCGTGGACCTGTGTGACCCGGGGTCCCCAGCCCCGGCCAGTCCTCCCGGCTTCTCGGAATTCTCGGTGCTTCGGTTCTCGGAGCAGTACACGGTGAGCTCTGAGCATGTGTGTGCCTCTTTTCAGGAGGCTGCCTGCTGCTAGGATTGAGAGAGGACTTCACGTGTCACTTTGTAGCTAATGACTTTCTGCGTACTTTCCTACGCGGCTGCTTACGGGCATTCGCACTCGTACTATCGCGTTCAATGTGAGCTGAAACAGTCCTCCGTGCTTCTTTGGAGTACTTGCCAGGTTTCGAGAGACCTGGATTCTTCGACAAGATTGAGAGATATGGAGTTTGTGCGGCCCTCAGACGCAGAAAAAGGCCGGATCGGCTGTTTTGGCTGATATTGATCGGGTATTGTACGTCTGTCAGTGCTTTCTCGATAACCCTGTTTGGTCCCGAGTTTGAAATTGATTGAAGTGGATTGATAAGCATATGTTTTTAGGGCTATGGTATCGCAGGTCCTTGTGATCTTATGGTCTATACGCTTTTTCTTCCCTTCGTAAACTTGATTTTAAAGGTGTGCTTTGTGGTGTTCGTTGCTCTTCTACTTTTTTGTCGCTTTTAGCAGTTTTATCCTTTACTATATTGATTTACCGACTAGCCCATTTACATACCCTTTTATCCTTTTTTGCGCTTGCATCTCTTGGCGCTGATGCTAAAATAAGCTTGGCTCGTATATACAGTGACCTGAAAGGTTTTGTGTTTTAGTATTCTTGTACAGCAGAGTTTCAATTTGAACTGCAAGTGGTGAGCTGCTACATATAGATTTTGAGGAAGCAAAGTTTGTCTCTGAAAACGGTGATTTTAGTCAGACTTTTTTAGTTCACTCTCCGGGTGGGAGATGATCGAGGCTATCTGATACGAAAAATGCATAGAAAAAATTATATTAATAACTGTACAATAGCTATTTGAGTATGGAGGTACATATTCTTTGAAGAGATGAATAATGAGAAAGGCAGCAAGGTACCTGCTCTTTCAGGCGCATACATTTTTCAATAAAAACAAACCATTAGGGTAGTTTCTATTGCTGTTTTCAGACTGCATAATAGTATTATTTTTTTTTTATAAATTTTTCAATTTTGTATGTATTTTTTTTAAAGTTCTATTGAGAGCTTTATTCTACTAATGGTACTTTTAGGGTTGTGCATACAAATCTTGTAGTGCAGTTTCACTCTACAAAAGAGTGTTGCAGTCCTGTTTAAAACCTTTCATGGCGACATGAAAAAGTTGCGTGAATTTGGCTCTTTCTACAACAGGAGAAAGACGAAGAGGCACTCTTGGGCTACAAGTTTGTGCTGCCATCAGTTAACCGGAAAGCCAGTTATGTCTACAATGACACTAAGGTTTTCTGCATTTCCCGTAAGTTATTACGCTTGCTTTTAGATTTTAATGTAAACGTCTTTACGATTCTCAGATAAATCGAATGTACCTGACTTCTCGCTGGTTTTTCTCTGTACGAAGCAGGTAGCGGCCTGGAAGAACTTGATGTGTTCAAGAGGGACAGGATCCTTGGGGCAGGTAAGGCAACTAAATTTCCTTAGGTTTCCTTTAAGCTTTTTTAGCAATCTTGTTTAAAAAAAATTTTGTGTAAGATTGAGAACTTTCTTAGTGTGTTGGATCTCAAGTCTTTAGGGGCACCTGTACAGCTACAAGGCACATAGTTAGGGAACACCTGGACAGGAACTTCTTTAGGAAAATGAATGCCAAGCAGAGCCCAACTGTTCCTTTTCTCCCTGCAAAAGTTTTGGAAATATAATTTTTAAAGCACATTGCATTAGATGAGTGCATCCACTTATGTGGTGTTTTCATAGGAACTGCTGTTCATGTTATTAAACAAGGATTTCTAGTGAAACCATCGGAGTTTGAGTATGGTACACCGTGCTGGGTATGCTTCCATCGTTCTTGGGACTAGGCTGTGTACTTTCCAGTTTTAACCGAAAAACACAGATGAATGCCCGCCAGTAACGAAATTACAAAATCGGTTAAAACCGGAAAACTTGGCTAGCTGAATATTTTCACCCTGATTAACACCGAGCAACAGCTCGCGAGCGTCTGGGGTGTCTGGAAGGGGTCGGTGAGCGAAATGTTCTCTGAAATTCTTCCAGGGTCCTACAAAGGGATGCCACTGTTCTTTTCGGAGTTCAACGGCTTTGTTCGTGTGCGCTCCATCCATGCCCCTGCCCAGGACGTCAGGTGAGTGGCACCTTTGATTTTTTTTCCTTTAATCTTTCGCAGTTAGTTGTTATCCTGTTGTGTTCTTATCGTTTCATCCGGGTTGTCCTAAAATTTCCGCTTGTCCATTTCAGTCACTCTGTTCTGGCCTCCCTTCAAGAGCCAGAGGACGCCGATTTGGAGGTGAGCGAGCATTTTCAGCGTGGCAGCCTGTAGAGCCTAGACCATGCTTTTAAATTTAATGGCATGTCATTAAAGGTCACATCTCCCAAAATGGTCGTCACATTGAAACGGACGAGTAGGAGAACGAGGTACATGCGCCGTCCTCCTCCCCTTGTCGCCCGCGTTTGTGGGTCACGGGATGAGACACTAGCCGGACGTTGCCACAGTCTTCACAATGTCTCGCAGAAGGAAGGAGCGGACTGAAGAGGAGATTGTTGCACAGAAGCAGCGAAATACCGAGCATGACCGTGGTTGATGTGCAAAAGCGACGCCAGAATACATCTTAGAGAAGCAGTGCTGTCACGTTTCAACGTAATCTGCAGCAAAGCACTGCAGAAATACAGCCCAATTTTTTTTTATAGTTGATTTATTTATTTACTACTTTTCGATTGCAGTGCTAGGAGGGAGAAAAGAAACTGATTCCATGGCACATACTATTGCGGACAAAATGAGCCTAAACAGTCTTCCGTGCTTCGGCGTACCTGCCAGCTTTTGGTGGTGCCGAGGCCCAAACTAGGAATGAAATGCAAAGTTGAAGTCCCATACTTCGGACTTGTGATTATTATGCAACTAATTCAAAGGTGCAAGCGAGCTGGAGAAGAACGACAATAATAATCCCTGGAGAAGGGGAACAAAGGGGACAAAGGGCAAACAAATCTCCAAACACAACTAGGTGACTCGTGCGCGACCGAAAAAATCCGCCTTGTCCTGGTATCTATCGAATCAGGGACGCTCCATTTTCAGTGGAGCGCTCTAACATCGGAGATAACCAGGAGTTAGACGTTGGTTGAGCAAACGGGTTTTATCAACTGCCACCAGTCTAACGCCAACAAGGATGAATGGCCTACATTTTAAGCTCATGATTATAATGCAATTAAGAGGGCACACCCCCTAGGAAGGTCAACTTTTGAACCCTTGACTTGAAATTAATGAAATTTACAGGGTAGGCTGGTGGTCATGCTAGAGGGTGCACAACAAAATTTCAGGTCTGTAGGTTAAATAGGAAAAAAATTGGAGCAGCTTCTATCGGCAACATGTCTACACTGTTCTGTTAGTCTATCGTCGGAAAAGAATCTCAATATTCAAGATTTTTATTTGTTAGATATGTAGCAGAATGCCTAGGAGGTGCGGCTATGAAAAGTATTTTGTCAAAAGTAATTTATTTCTGTAAATTTTCTCTTCTACAAAATTGGTCAACTTTTTGGTCTTCTGTGTCTTCGACAAAATGCCAACATTTTTTATAAAAAAAAAACATCCATAAAGTGACAAAAAAATTCTTTAGTTGCATTCCTTATTAAATCTCTGTCAAGAAAAGTGTAGAACGAGCCTTGCCTGTATTGCCATTATCAAATGATAGATTGACTAAAATGGAATTTACACTAAAAAGTGGAACGGAGAAAAATGTGTTCAAAGTGCTCCAAACCCTACCTCTTCTGTAGCTTCGATGGACAGAAAATAATTTATAAAAAATTAACTATGCAGTGTAAACTAATTAAACTTTCTGGGAATACTCTCCAGTTGTGGGTGGATCTACATATGTCATTTTTTAAAATCGACTTTTTTTGCAGAAATTTTTTATTTCTGGGTAGTGTATGCAAAGGTGCAAGCAAGCTGGACAAGTATGACAAGCTCAGTTGGTAGTGCGCTCCACTGGAAATGGAGAGGTCCCTAGTTCGATACCAGGATAAGGTGGATATTTTCGATCGCGCACCAGTCATCTAGCTCTGTGTGGAGAATTGTGTTTGTCCTTTGTTGGCTTTGTTCCCCTTCTCCAGGGATTATTATTGTCATTCTTGTACAGCTCGCTTGCACCTTTGCATTAATTGCATTATAATCATAAGCCTAAAGTGCAGGCCGTTCACTCTTGTTGGTGTTAGACTGGTGGCAGCTGATAAAACCCATTTGCTCTACTGACATCTAACTCCTGGTTAGCTTAGTTGGTAGAGCGCTGCACTAGAAATGGTGAGGTTTCTGGGTCGATACCAGGACCAAGCGGATTTTTTCTGTAGCGCACCAGTCATTTAGCTGTGTTTGGAGATTTGTGTTTGTCCTTTGTCCCCGTTGTTCCCCTTCTCCAGGTTTAATTATTGTCATTCTTCGAACTGTTTGCCAAATTGAGAAATAATGACGCTTGCGGTAACCATGGACGCAAAAAGAAAAGGCCGGGATGGTTGTTCAAACTTATGTTGTCCACGGGGGGCACACACAGTTAAAGGGGAGCAACGATTTTAAGATTAAAAGAATTTGCATCTCGTCATTTTTACCTTGTTTATCGTGTTCCGGAGAATAGAGGAAACATTTCCTCCATTAAAAATTGTTTAGATTCTGCTGCATAATCGAATCGCAAAGCGAAAGTCAAGCTTTTTCCCCCACCTGCAGCCGCGAGTGGCAGCGGAAAGAACTACGGCGAGAAGCTTACGTGACCTCGCTCGGCTCTAAGCTGCAGCATAACGCCCGCTGATGTCAGCAGAAAGGATAGGAAGCGTCCTCCGAGAGAGCGCACGGGAACCTACACGCCACCCTGAATTATGTCACTAGGAGTGCGACCAGGTATGACCCTGAAGACTGGGAGTGAGTTGAGAAGCGCCAGAAATGTCAATATTTATCTTTTTTTTTACACAACAACTTGGACACGCAGGTGAAATCGGTTTTCTGTTCTTGCAGAAGTTTCAGAGGGGAATTTCCTCAAATTTTTGACCGAAGTCCGAAATCGTTGCACCGCCCTTTAGATGAAGTGCCAGAGTGAATTTTAATGTGGAACAAAACTAAAGCACGGTAGACCTGGGGCATACGTATTAGAACTGAACGTACAGCACTTACATAAAGGCCCGTTCACACACTTGCGACTTCTTAAAATCGAGTGGCTTGGAACCTATTAAAATCTCTTACGACAGGTGGACACACTGGCACCACCTATCGAGTAGCAGTGGAAAACTGGGCGGTGCCGTATATTTTCAACTTCTTTCGGGCATTTTTTCTTTTTTTCTTGGCCTTACAAACTTATATCAATGTTATGAACAAACATTTCTCATAAGTAGTATGCACATTTGACCTCGGAAATGCTGCTAAACCTTCGCTGTAGTGAAATGCAGTTCCAGGGTCATCAAATAGATGGTGCCAGCGTGTCAGTGCGTTCTCCCGTCGTAAGAGATTTTAAGAGGTTTTAAGGCGCTCGATTCTAAGGAGTCGCAAGTGTGTGAACGGGCCTTTACAGGCACAGAGGTGGATAACTCTACATTAGTGCTAGCATGTAGAAAAAGGTTGAAACACGCCAAGGCTAGGCTTGCCATTTACTCCAGTTAGCTTTGATTGTGGAAGTATGGGGAGCGCGCACTATATCGGAGCTTCGCAAACTGTTCTCAAACTTTTCAATCTCAAGAAATTTTTCACTGCCTCCACCGATTCATTGCCGAAGAAGTTCTCCAGGTCTCAACATTGATGCGGTACAGCGATTCAGGAACCAACAGAGTTTGCACACGATGATTACTGTACTGGGAGTGTTTTGGCTCTTAGTTATGCATCAATGGGTGCCTTAGATCTTTTTTAAGCTGGGAAAGCACTTTACTTCGTGGCAGGAACGATTGAGAAAATTTGGGGGCCACAGGGGTACTTTGGGCAACGCCTGTGTTTATGGGAATCCAGATTGAGAACCCGTGCACTATATGATCATTAGCGATCACTTACAGTGACTAAATGTTTGCAGTATTTGTGCCGATCGCACCACATTTATTTCTTGTTTTTGTTGAATCTCTGAGTTGACAGGCTCGCTACCCTTGTTAGTCGGGTATACCCATTCAAACGGCAACTATGCCCCATTTCATCAAAGTCCAAGCATAAAAGAGAAGCTACAAGAGCAAGCTCGAGGCTTTTGGTGTCCTCTGCGAGGCAAGAATTGTTTGGCGACACGCTCGTGCTTGTAGCTGCGACTGTGCTCGCTCGTTGGTGAAACAAACTGTAGGTATAATTTGGCTTTCGCCTTACTAGGTGATGACTTTAAAGTTATCTTCCTCAATAAATACTGTAGGAGTTGGGGAGAATGTTGGAGCTAGCAAAGTTTTGCTGTGATCTGTCGACATCAGAGACGAGACTGACCTTTGACCTTTACTTTGCAGAGCACCACCGTCGAGGAAAGCCATTATGCCAGGCTGCGATCTGCCTTCATCCTGTTTTGCAAGAGCGAGAATGTGAGTGACTTCCCTCCCACCTCTGGTGTTCGATTTATTCCCCGCGTCAAGGCGAGGAGAGCAGAGTGCAGAACGAGTTCCACAAATGTCGGCGTGTACCAAGACTACTTTTTTACGTCTGTTAGTAGTTACCTGTATATGAACATTTATATACCTTTTTGGCTCCTTTGATCGAAAGTATAACAAAACAAGCAAAGCTAATTTCTTTTTTTTTTTCTGATAGCTGTGCTCTTGAAGGACAGTTTGTGTAATGAGTCGCTAACTGGGTGCATCATTTCAGGTCGGTAATAAACATATTGAGCTAGTATTTGTGAATATGACTTCATCATTCACGTCGTGATTTCCCATAAGATCTGTAGCTAGGTGGTGGGCTAACTAGATATATATAAGGTAGAAGCCAGCTAGTTTATTGGTAGAGTCGTGTTTTCTGTGCATATATAGGATGTTCCAAGTGGACCTTCCACTGTAAAATGAGCTAGAAAAATCGGCGCCTTCGCACAGAAAGCTCGAACTTCCGCCAAATGTGCACTGAGCAGGTCGGTTTTACCGTGTGATATTGAGAAACATAGCCCCATTTTATTTTACTTCCAGCTACTGTAAACAAGGTAATTTTCGTGAGGACCTAATTTTTGCGAATTTCGCTAATCGCCTACAATTCGCGAAAAATAGGTCCTGTGGATAATTTTAGTAAAACGTGAACACATTGAAATCTATATTGAGATCCCACCGCGGTCGCGAAAATTAGAACCCTCAAATTATTTAAAATCTTAGCTTTTGCTTAAATCGCAGAATGTTGAGCCCACGAAAAATAAGTCGTTTGCGGTATAGATAGGCGCACCAAGCAGACAACAATAGTTTGTCGTCTGTTCGCTGTGCCTATAGGTAGATGGTGCCACAAGTAAATTGCGTCGGTACCTCAATCGCCTGCTAACGCGCTTAAAGGGCCACTCCGCTTCTTTTCTAGTAGTGCAAAACTATACAGTTCACTTTGTTATCATCTACAGAACCCCCATGGCAAATATTACGAGGGAATTCCGCCTAGAAGTTCATTAAAATCGCTGTCAAAGTTTGACAAGCACGAATCCGCTGGTTTTGGATGAGACGTGCGGGCCAGACAACACTGCCCGGCTGCATTTCCGCTTCCTCCAAATTCCTTCTCCGCGACGTCATCAAGCATGTACAGCTTCTTTTTTTTTTTTCAATTTTGTTTTCTTTCCCGGGGAGAGCACGGGTGGCGCCAGCGCCGTGAAAGACGTGAGTGACGCGCTCGGCCGGCCCGGCGCTCGACTATTGATACTACTGATAAGCCGATCGCCTCGTTGAGCGCGGCTTGTGTTACATCCCATACTTTTGAACACCAAGTAAAAGGAGGAGAGGGAAGCTGCTTTTGTAAGAATTTTGAGTGACAGGTTAATCTTCTATAATCTTCTGGGAGGAGAATAGCGATGCCTGTGCTAATCCAGGAGGCACAAAGGAGGATCCTGATAAGAGGGGAGCTCCTTTTTCCCCTTGTATATCACGTGGGTGTACATGCTTAGTGATGCCGAATATACAATGTTGTCCGGCTTCGCCACCGTTTCGGTTTCGTTTTGTGATCATGGCTAGAGTAAAATTACACAAAAAATATTTTATTTTTCGCGAAATAGAGAATTGGGGATTGTGTTTGAGTGCTTCAAAAAGCAAAATCGGCCACTATCTCAAAATTTTTGAAATTAAGCGGAGTTGCCCTTTAACCTTGACTTTGGTACATTTTTTGCTCTAAAGTTTCTACAGGAAGAGAACTACGCCTTGAAATTTCACACGGTAAAACTGACCTGCTCAGTGCAGATTCGGTGAAAGTTCAAGCTTTCTATGTGTAGGTGCCGATGTTTCAGGCTCATTATGCAGCAGAAGGTCCGCTTAAGAGACATTATTTCTATATCAATAAACCCCAAAATATTGCACCCCTAGCCGGTTCTCTCAAAATCGAGACAACCCCCTAATTGAAACTGTGTGAATAAAGAAGAGAAACCCAGGCTTCAGGGGAAGGAAATCTTTATCTACGGTTAAAATTTGTAATAACCGAGAGCAGAGCACCCACTGAACTGTCTGCGAGGTTGCTCTTTTCTTCAGAAGCACACCCGTCTCGTCTCGTTCTCTTTTCTCGTCAGTACCAGAAATGTTTCCGAGCATTCAGGTTGTGCGCCTGTTTTTTGAAGGTCAGGAAATACCATTCCCGTGTCCCACTTTCTTGAACACGGGCCTCGAGAAACACTAATCTTTTTTTCAACACCAAAAATAAACGGCAAAAAAGAACCGAATCTATAAGAAAAATATAAGGCCCCCGAATTCTACAAAAAATAAGCCTCAAAAATGCAGAAACTTTTTTTATCAGCTAGAGTCTTTATTTAGGCAAAGTCACAGGATGGTGGGAGGACCAGTTAGATTGACTCTTACTACTATGGCAGGATTATCGTTTGGTTGATATTCATGATGCAACAGCCCTTTACAAAAATAGACCCTATTTCATTGAAAGTATTTATTTTATTTTATTTTCAGCTCTCTCCAGATATTTTCATGTTGACATTCTGCACATGTTTTCCCGTGACCTTGCTGCACCGTTGCAGAGAACTGCAGTGTGTGCAGTCAAGACTGACCTTCACTGTCTTCTAGATCAATAATAGTGTGAAAATATTCACTCTGCACATGCAAAAGCATGTGGGACAGTAAGCATACAAGGGCATGACCTGGCTAGTGTTGTCTAGATGTTAACGACTATGTGTACATAGTTCGCAGTCTGGTAATGGCCGCACTGTTTATTGGCAATGCCTGTGTATCTACTTTCTTTCAAAGTATGCGGATAGCTAACCGCTGCAGTCTATCGTTGCGGTCTGGGGAATTGATGAGGCAGAGATAACATTCCCACACAAATACGCTCTCTGCGCCGTGATGCCAGGCTAGTTCGATGCAGATGGCATTTTCGGGAACGGGCATTTTCTGGGTCACATGACTTTCCTGTTTCCATATGCCTCAAAGATTAGGTTTCTGCGTGGGAAAGTTACAGGCCCATGACAGAAAACGAAGCCTGGTTTTTCGGCTCGCATAAATAAACTAAGCGTCGCAGAAAGTCAAGACTTGGTGCGAACATGACACTAGCGGAGGCGACGAAAGGCAAAAATTTGAGAATGTGATGTTACCTAAATCGGAACATAATCAAAATATTGCTAAGAGTAGACGTCCACCTAAGCCTAGTATTCGTCAAATCAAGCAACGACATTGCGGGTGCCGGGAGCAGTTATATTAGCAATTAAAACTTGCCACCAAGGACACTTTCGTTTTCCTTCATGCCGACTCCCTTTTTTCTTTGTGTTTTCCTCCATGCTTGTGCACCTCGAGTGCTCGTGCGCAGCCAAAGCGCGGTAGATGGCATAAGACGCGTGCCGGAGGCTGGGTGTTCGAAATTCGCACCCCGCCATTCTCGCTCCGTCGGTGTAACTTTGTCGCAACATTCCAACAAAATTTCGGTTTTCCGCGGCGCATAGTTTATTTATGCGGACCAAACAACCAGGTTTAATTTTCGTTCACCAACCCGGTCGTTAATGGTAGCGGTCATTCCCGCGAGTACGACACCTCGGACGACGCGACAAGCCCCCCGCGGCCTCTCTCGACTCGTGACGCAGCTCAAGAGCGAGGCGATGGTGGACAAGGCGTTCCCGGGGCGGTCGTCGGAGGTCTCGACAGAGCCGGACTCTGCGCTGGACCAGTGCGTGTGCCGCCTAGCACGGCGGCTGACGGACGACGTGCCTGTGTCGGACCCGCGCTGGGTGCACTCTAGGGGGGCCGGGCCCGGCTCTTCCTCCTCTCTCCTGATCCACCACCAGCTGGAGGACAAGCAGCAGGCCCACCGTCTGCTCGTCAGCTTCCTCAAGGACGTCGGGCTCTGGAATAGGGTGACGCAGCCCTCTCTTTTAATTGTGTCTAATGGGTCGCTTCCTACAAGAAAATTGTCACGAACGAGCGTCGTAGCGAGCATAGTGAATGAGTAACATGCTGGGTGTGTTACATGCGTTAAGGTTATACATGAAGTTTATGTTTAAAAGTTCAAGCCCCGGCGGCGCTTGAACCTGAATCGGCACGGTGGCGGTGGGATGCAATAGCCACTGAGCTACTACTAACATGGCTGATCTGGAAGGCTGAATTGTTTTATTTGAATGCGAGTGTGCCGACGAGAGCTGCAAGTTTTCGATGCAAATAATAAAAACAAATAATCAAATAAAACAATTGGAAATAAATAAATAAATAATTAATGATAGATAATTAAAAATAAAGTAAATGCAAATTAATAATGAAAAAGTAATATAAATTTAAAATAAATAAAATAAATTAAAATGAATAAATAACAAAAAAAAATAAAAAATGAATAACATAAAAAAAGAATGATAGAAAATACAATATAAGTAAATAAAAAAGGGGGAAAAAAAAAGAGAATAGGAGGATTCAAAGAATGTGCAGGATTGTGCTCCCTAGTGAACATGATCAAGCCTGTATAAACTATCTTGGGAGTAGTCAAAGGGCGGGGTTGAAACCCCTCCGTTCTGTTTCTAGCTTAGAGGTCCGAGAAACTCGAGAGGCCGTTTTCTTGAATTGTCTATCACAAGGCTGCAGCGTTGACCCAAAAGGGTCAACTTTTGAACCTCTGGCTTAGTATGAATGAAATTTACACTATATACTGGCAGTTGTGAGGCATAATGTATTGCAAAGCTTCATTGGTGTACACAAATTGTGAGAGAAATATTGTCGTTTTTATCAACAACACACTCACATTGTTTAGGAAAACCCAATACAAAACTAGTAATGTAATAACTAGATTCACAGCAAATGCCTGGAGAGTGCAACTGTGAAAACAAAAAAAATTCTCTAAAGTAATTTATTTTATGCTAACATGGGAGCTGAAATATCAAATACTTTTCTGCCTTTCATGTTCTTGACAAAATATTAATATATTTTATAAAAGTCGTAGACAAAGTAAGAAAAACGATGCCACAGTTGCATTGCCCATTAAATTCTAGTTAGTAAAAACAATGAGTGAGCCTTTACTTTTGTCCCATGACCAAACAGTAGTTTTCCTAAGGCGAAATGTTTGCCAGAAAGTGGAATGGAGAAAAATGCATTTTAAAGTGCTCGTACCTCTTCCTTTTCTTTAGCGTCGGTGGACCGAAAATAATTAAAAATAAATGAATGTATGCAGCGTGAACAAATGAGACTTTCTGAGAATACTTTTTAAATGTTAAAAGATGCAAATATGTCATTTTTCAAAATGACTTTTTTTGCAGAAATATGTTTTTCTGGGTAGTGTCCCCCCTCAAAGGCACACTGAATTCCTAAACTACTTTTCTCATCACCGGTGTGTAAATAAGTATTTACGCCACAAAAATAACTTCCTAAAAAAATGCAACAATTTATGCTGCGAGGCACGTTTTGGGTTAGGAGCGATCATGATATTTCGGCACATCAACTCGAAATTGAAAGGCAGTCCAAAGAGAGTCCCACTTTGCATAATAGCTATGTCGCGAGACTCATTCTTGAGTGAGGATTGATTTTGAAACGTGCTCCTCTTTCAGCATGCCACTTGGAAATAAAACCACATCGCAATACTCTAAATGAGTCAACCCTTAATTATTAGGCCTTTCAGCATGCCACTTGGAAATAAAACCACATCGCAATACTCTAAATGAGTCAACCCTTAATTATTAGGCTAAAAATAATATTTTTTACAGCAAAGCTGTTATGCACTAGGATCTGGGAAAAAATGCGTCCGCAGATATTGACATAAAACTCCCCATTGGTCGTGGGAAGTATGAATAAAAAAAAAATTAAAAAGAGGGGGCAACCAGCATGAGTCGGCGTTCATTGGCATTATCAGATAGTGAGGTCCTGAGTCTCTGTTATCATCTCTAGGCATCGTCCTCGAGGTCATCCTAGAAGTCGTCCTCGAGGTCATCCTAGAAGTCGTCCTCGAGGTCATCCTAGAAGTCGTCCTCGAGGTCATCCTAGAAGTTGTCCTCGAGGTCATCCTAGAAGTCGTCCTCGAGGTCATCCTAGAAGTCGTCCTCGAGGTCATCCTAGAAGTCGTCCTCGAGGTCATCCTAGAAGTCGTCCTCGAGGTCATCCTAGAAGTCGTCTGAGAGGTCATCCTAGAAGTCGTCTGCGAGGTTATCCTAGGCAGCGTCCTCGAGGTCATCCTAAAAGTCACCTTTGAGGTCATCTGAGGTCGTATTGTAGGCATCATCCTCAAGGTCATTCTAGAAGTCGTCCTAGACATCATCCTCTAGGCGTCGTCCTTGAGGTCATCCTAGGCGTCGTCCTCGAGGTCGTCCTTGAGGTTGTCTTCGAGGTCATCCTAGAAGTCGTCCTTGAGGTCGTCCTCAAAGTCGTTTTAAAAGTTGTCCTTGAGGTCGTCTTAGACATTGTCTTCTAGGTGTCTTCCTCAAGGTTGCCCTAGAAGTCATCCTTGAGGTCATCGTAGATGTCGCCCTCTATGTGTTGTCCTCGAGGTCGTCCTAGAATTTGTCCTTGCTAGATATTGTCCTAGACGTAAAGATATCAGCTTTGCTGGTCCTCCATCTTCACGTGAGGTGGAAGGGCGCTGCAAAATTTTTTATTGGAAATATTTATTTTTTGACGTATTTGCTCTATCCAGGATTTTTAGAGAAAATATTTTGAGGGAAGTTGAGTGTCTTTGTTACCATGGAGTTTGACTGTTTGAATGCGTCCTCCAGCTCTATGCGGTGACTGTGAGGGGTTCCCCGCTTGCCACGAACCTGCTGCTGCAGGAGCATGCTGAGAAGCTGGTGGCTGCCATACACCTGCATTCTCTGCAAGTTCAGTGAGTTTTTCCCACTGTATCCCCGGCGGGTCCTCTATTCTAACGGGAGACATTGACTCCGCTTGTGTCTTCTTGCAAGGCTAGCCCTGCCCGATACATCTGACATTGCAGAAGACGCTTAGCTACGAGCTGCAGAGGCTTCCATGCATGCTGAAAGTTTTTAGTCTATACTTAACTGAGCCATGAGCGTGACGCCGAGGTGAACCAAAGTATGGAATGCGTGCCGAGCGTCAGTGCTGCGTACATAGTTTTAAGGCTGGTTCACTCATTCGCACTTCGGTGCGACCAACCACATTTCATCCGCCTGTGACCTGTACAATGAGAGAACAAGCTGGTGCTATTTATCGGGTGGCGCTGGAACATTTTTGATCCGCATGTTATAGGATGTTCCAAGCGGACCTTCTGCCATAAAACGAGCCGGGAAAATCTGCACCTGCGTGTGGAAAGCTCAAACTTTCACCGAATGAGTGTCGAGCAGGTCAGTCTTACCGCGCGAAAAATTCAAGGCACAGTTCTTTCCCTGTAAAAAAATTAGAGCAAAAAGCTTGCTAAATTTCACGTCAGGGGCGTTCGCAGATGAATGAGTCAGCGACGTCATCAACTTGTGGCGCCATCTCATGATGGGCACAACGAGCGGACGATGCACTATTCTTGTCTGCTCATTGCGCCTATCAGGAGATGGCACCACAAGTTAATAGTACCGGGGCTTTTGTGAAACGCTTTGCCACATAGTCTTGTGTTTGGATCCTTTGTCCAGGTATGGCGGCGTGGTTGACGACAGCATCAGGCGGGTGATCCAGGGGCGACAGGCGTCGCCATCTGGGAGCCTCACGGCCGTCGACCACTTCTACCAGCAGGTGGGGCACACTGCGCCGTGGAAAAGTATGAACTTGGGCGAATCGGGGACGCATGTCGAAATGCAAGTAGGGCGAAAGAGATGAGGGACAACAGGAAAAAGAAATCACTGCACCCATTAGAGTGCCTTACGTGGAAGCTGCCTTTGTGACTGTGCAGCTCACCCTTGGAATATTCTGCGTGCATAAAAATAAAAACCTGCAAGTTTCTTATCCTTCAACGTTTGCGAGTACCACATTTTCAGATGTATTGGGAGCATGTGACACCTAAAGGGCAGCTCGCCGATTTGCCTTGACAGCTATACCATTGACAACATCTGTGGTGAAGCGCTAACCTCTCAGACCTCTACTAATGCACTCACGGCATCTTGGCCGCGTCTGTGCTTTCCCGTGCCACGTCTGCGCTTCCCCACATCGTGTCTGCGCTTCCCCACTGCCACGTCTGCGCTTTTTCATGGCCACATTTCTCTAACTCAAGCTGGAGTAAAGGTTTGCCACCGTTGCATTTGAAAACGTATCCATGTCCAACATTGCTCCGTATGCGTTTCCACGTCATTCGACCCGCAGGAGTTGCTCGGAGCTTGGGTTCAGTAGCGTCCCCTGCAGTTGTAAGCGGCAACACCGGCAACACATTGCCATGTTTTTCTTTTATCTGGACTGGATTACAGTTGAACCCAGAAATATTGAATTCAAAAGGGATCGTAAAATAGTTTGATATATCGATGATTTGATATTGTCACGAATGACAGTTCATGAAGCGACGAGAACTGAAACAAACCAAACGTTTAATGGGGCTAACTTGTGCCCAAAACAAAAGGAAAACGGAGGATAACAGTAGAGCATCGCGGGCGTTGATGGCGGTGCAGCAGCAGGGTCGAGCGCTGGGGCGAGAATGACTTCGGCTTGCTACGCGGAGCCCCTTTTGTACATACGTTGGCTTCTGGGGTAATAGGTGTACAACGTTGGGCGTGTAGAACATTCTAACCTCTAATCAGCAACTCGGTTTTCGAATTTACCGGAACATCACATCAGAGTCAACAAAAATGCGTACCCGCGGCCAGGAATCGAACCCTGGCTTTTTGCTTGGACGGCAAGCGCGATAACCGTTAGGCCATGAGTGCGCTGCCTACTTGGTCGGGTGCGCACGCGGCAATGTACAAAAATTTGTTAAGCTCCAATTGAAATTTCCGCCTGTCTCTGCTAATACCGAAGGCCGCGACAAACGGGACCTTACCAAATAGAGCCTCTAAGAGCCGCTAAATACGGTAGGGCTTAGTTGGTGAAGATCACAGACACTGCTGCATTTACACGAAGCTGTTTGCGATCGTTTACGCCTGGCCACGACCTCCACACAGCGTTGACAACAAAACACGAAAATAATTTAAAAATAAATTAAAAAAAAGAAAAGGCGAGCTGCATAAAAAAAAATCTCAATCCTTAGAATAAAGTTAAGCAACAAAGAAGAAACCTCACTAAATTCAGGCAGCCAAAAAAGAAAAGCAAAAAAATTAGAAAAAAAAATGGGCAAAGCAAAAACGGCGAAAGAAAAAGGTAAATGAAGACGGCGTTCAAAGTGTGATTGCTCAACCGTTGTTGTCAACACTCAACTTGACAAAGACTTCTTTTTTTTTTTTGGAGGTTAAGGAGTTGTGCAGCAATAGCGCTGTTGGGGAAAGAGCGCACGATACCGTTCCAACAGGAGCACTGTCTGCCCTCCCTACGTGCGCGCGTGCCCTTCCTTTTGCTTCTGCCATCCTCAACTTTTTTATTTCTTATTTCATTTTTACTGTTGCTTTTTTTTTTGTGCATATCCCCGTTATATCCTTGTGCACGTATGCTGGCTTGACGGTCTGCCAGCCCTGCAATGCGAGCTATGTGCTTGCCACCCGCGCAATCCGGCCGCGGGAGATGCGATGGCGGCCATTCTTTGTTCGATATGTCGAGTGTCCACGCCATGGGAGTTTGATACAGAAAACAATGCTCCTATACTGTTACATGGGATTTTCTAAAGGGGATGATTGGACTGTTTGATAAAAACAACAATTGAAAATACCCGTCTGTGATATAACCGGGCTCGACTGTATGCCTCTACGAAGCGTTTGTGTGCTCGACAGTCCGGAAATCTTTAGGAAGGACATTCACCAGTGCCATTAACTATGCAAGCTGTAGACTCTATTAACATTTACAATAAAGGAGGAAACGCAGAAAAGCCACCAACGGCCTGCTCTTCTGGCTCTTCAAAGACAGTTCAAAGCTTGGTAGCATAGGTCCGCGAATGCAGCAACCCCATGCTTTATTTTTCGCAGTGCTCCCCGACCATTTGCGACCTATACAAAGATGCAACTTATATACCTTTTGTGAGAACGGCTGTTTATAGGAAGGTGTTACTTGCATACGACGGTGCCACTTTTAGACGTGCGGGAGATACTCGAATCTGTATTTTGTCATTTTCTTGAGTTGTACGGCACACTGTATGGTAGTCTTCTAGGACTCGGTGCACTGGCAGCTCGCTCGTGCGTCTGCACGTTTAATTTTGAAACGTCGTCCGGTGGATCGACGGCAATGTGGAAGAGGGTGGTGTTCTCCCAATTGAAGGTGTCCGAGATTGACGCCGTCTTTCCTGCGCTGGTGGAGGAAGAAGAGGAAGCGCTGCAGAAGGAACTCTCTCCCAAGGAAGCCTTCGAGCTCATCACGCTCGTCAACGCAGTCCTTGTGGTGAGTCTCTTTCTTTTCTTGTAGGGGGTTGTATTAGCATCTCTTGGCTTCTCCCCATAGCAAAGCTTGGCTTTACACATGATCGCCGATGACGTGAGAACGGCAGGGAAGAGCTTAACTTGTTCGAATTTTAGCACAAGCTTTCTAGAATTCAGCAATGCTTCAGCTTTTTACCGCATCTTTTTTATTAGGGTGTTCTAAAAAAGTTGTGCATTAACTTGTACAGTCGAACCTCGATATAACGAACTTCAATGTAACGAAATCCTCGATTTAACGAAGTATTTTATTTTTCATAATTTCTTGCCCATAGACCCCATGTATTTTTAGTCTCTATATAACGAAGTCTATTTTGCTGCTATTTCAATATAACGAAGTGCCATCGCCATAGAAGGCAATAAATAAATAGACTCTAAAAAAAAAAAAAAAAAAAAACTTCGCAAAAAAATTGTGGTTAAAAAAAAAAAATTATGCGCGAACGCGAGCGCTTGATAGGTTACTTCACGGGGACAGGCCTTCCAACGTTCCTAGGCTGCCCGAGGAGGCGGCGCCGGTAGCGCCGGCGAGGCGTGCGGCAAAGTGGATTCCGCGGGGCTGGCCAGAAAATGCCGAGCAAAAAGTTAACACGACATAACAGCATCACCACTGCCATTGACTGATCATCATAGTCCACTGTACCGCGGGTAGCGCGGGAGCCAACTTCAGCGGGGGAGCGACGTGATGGCGCGACCGCACGGGCAGTGCCATCTAGGAGAAGACCGAGAAGACCGATTATCGTCTTGCGAGCGTGATGTAAAGCAAAGGCGCAAGCACACTGTGGGCGCAAGGGGGTAAGTAAACTGTGCGGTCAAGAGTGCTGTGTAGGTTGGAAACATTGGCACCGCCTAAACTAAACAGCTTTATTTTTCAACCGGGCGGTTCACTCACGTCAGAGCCGTAAATGACTCACGTGTTTGCTGCCATAAGGAAACGTAAAGTTCTTTCTTTGGATGAGAAAGCAAACGTTTTGGACGCCATCCTGAAGAAACTGCCGAGATCACGAGCACTCGAGAAGTGCTCGACGCAATGGACGAACTGAGGAGGTACATGGCGTCGCATGGGCAGCAAGATGCCGTGCAAGCGCTCTGGGCGCTCGAACGCCGTATGACGCCGCCACGCCGCTGCCACTGTCGAACAAGGCGCAAGCAAAACTCGCGGACTACTTTGCTCTTAAATAAATGTCACTTTCGGTGAGTTTTCATACCCGTAAAATGTTTCGGAATTTTTTCTTGCATGCTAAAGCCAAATTTCGATTTATTGAAATTTCAATGTAACGAAGTAAATTGCGAATTTTACCGACTTCGTTACATCGAGGTTTAACTGTATGATGAAGTTGAGGTTTTCTTGAAAGCTATAATACATACAAAAACAAAGAGCTTATGTTTGTGCTTATCACAAACACTTATAGTAGATGTGAATATTTATAAATAAGCTGCCGTAAAGTTCCAAGAGAACGCCCGCCCCCAAGAGATCGGCCATCCCGTTTTCTGGCTAAATATTTGTGCCATAAAAGTTCCAAAACATGGCCCACCCCTTAATCCCGTCAGACGTCACGCAATGTCCTGCAGGAATCGCATCAGCCGCGCAATTTGCTATAGCAGCACGTCTGACAAACGAGTTCATAACGGATTCCCGCATTTTTGTCCTTGATTTGCGCTTGCAATATCGGCTTCCGTAACATGCAAGTTGTTCCCGCGTGTACACCGTAAAATGCGAATCTGCTGTGTTCGCAATTTTCGGTATCCATTCCTTTGACATAAAATTTATAGCGGATTCCTGCGTTTTTGTCCACGATCTGTGTGCGCAATCTCGATTTCGTGCGAATTGGTCCTGCGTGTTTTTACATCATAAACTACAATTCTGCTGCATTCGCGTCCGGTATCTGCACCGTAATGTCGGTTCCTGTGGAAGGCAAGTTTGTAGTGGGTTCCTGCATGTTTATTGCACCATAAAACTTCAAGCTGTTGCGACCGCAATTTGTGGTATTCATTCCCATGAGATGCGAGTTCTCAGTGGGTCTCCGTGGGCCCTTCGCACCGTGAAACACGAATCTGCTGCGTCCGCAACCTGCAGTATCCTTTCCCATGACACAGGAGTTTGTAGCGAATTCCCGCGTGTTTATCGCAGTGAAATATGAATTTGCGGTGCTCGCGATCTGCGGTATCAGTTCCCGCGTCACGTGGTTTCCAGCCGGTGCCCTCGTGTTTATCCTTTATATTTGATCAATTTTTGCTGTGGCATCCCCAAAAATGGCCCACCCCATGTTTTTCACCATTTATCTCTTAATTTTGGGTGGGCGTTCTCTCGGAACTTTACGGTAGGTCAGAAATGACAGAAAAATGTTCAAGACCAGGGCCTTTCTATAAATCTTTGCAGCAGGCACACTTAGGTTAGAACAACCTTAGTACGATTTTCTCGTGTCTCATTTGGAAAAAGGGCATTTAGTAGCTCGTTGAATTTCAGTTATTGAAACAGCATATCTCTTTCGCTGAAGCTGTAGTCTTAATGTAACCAAGGTCGGCGACATGCACTTTTAGCTGTGTTAGCTGCATCTAGCGGAGTCACATCCCGATGCGGGATTCACACTCCTTCCTTTGGACAACTATCAGTACTGCTTTGTGGCAAAGCACCTATAGTAAAACATAAACACATTTCTTCGCCAAACAAGCAATTAACACAAAATGTGTTTGATCAGCCGACTTGCAAGGAGTTGTGTAACGTTTGGCTGTAGTGGCACCGAAAAGCAGTACACCCATAGACAACCATGTAAAAAGATTACAGTACCCTGGTAGGGTTTGAACTTACCACCTTGAGATTGTGAGCCAAGTGCTTTGCCTAAAGAGCTTTCCAGGGTCAGGGGCCTACGCATTCAAAGGCGATGTCATGCGCATGGTGTGCCAACGTGCACAGATACCCATCTCTTCTTCCCTAGGAGGCCTATCACACATTCTGTTCTTACCAATCTTTGTCAGCATGACCAAGCTTGTATAATTTTTCTTAGCTTGCAGTAACCATCTGATTTTTCAAGTGTAAGCTAAAGACAAATAATGAACAAAACATACTGGACATGTGGGACAACTGAAAGCGGGAGTTGATTTCCTAAGGCCTCGACTGATGTGGTTGCTACGATTCCTTTTTTGCTTTTTCAGTCGACCGGGGTTCCCCATTTCCGCCAATTCATTCTCTTTCCCCCGACATACTTTTGAAAAAGTAAATATTTTCTCGCGAACGTGACCTCCCGTGGTTTGTTGTGCCGAGTGCGCATCGCCTTTGGCTCGTCGGGCATTTGCGGGTGGGGGAGAGATCGGTGGCCTAGTGCGTTAGCACACCGCAACTCGATGCACGTGGTGCGAAAGCACACACTGCAGAGCCCAGAGATCCCAAGTTCAATCCCCACCCCTGCCTGTTTAGATCTAGATCGGTGTTGTACCGCCTTGCGGTCATGTATCGCCACTGCTCTATGCACGTCAAAGACACCAGGCTAGCAGAGGTTCTGCATTAGCGAAATCTGTCATCTACAGCAGAGACACCAGACGCCCATTGGGGCTGGCTAACTTCCCGCCGTATAAACATAAACACAATTACTTTAGGCGTCGGTGCAGGTGTCTTTATGCGTTTCCTTGTCCCGTTCTCTTTCGTCCGCCGGGGCAGAAAGTGCTGCAGGAGGCGTGCCTGTTCAGGGAGAAGGAGCAGCAGTTCTACGAGTCCGACCGGGAGCTGTCGCTCGAGCACTGCCCCTGGACCTCCGCCCTACGGGACGTGCTCTGCAAGCAGGTGCGGGGGGTCTCGCCCAAGTCGGAACTGGGAGGCCATGCAAATTGTTTGACCAGGATGTTATGCTCATGCGGTCGATTTGCTTGTTTATCTGTTGACGCTGCATTTTTTCTAAGCAGCTTATACTTTACGGTGACTCAATTTAACTAACACGCGAGACGCTTGTGAATTTTCATTTGTGCAACATTCCTCGTGCGTGGCGTTGAATGACCGTCACGTCCTAGTTTGTGAAATTTTCTTCCCAGGAAGTATTCCGAAGCGCGGCATTTTGGCAAATTTGTGAAACGCAAATCCCCAAGATGTATCGTTGTTTACGATATGGCTTGGAGACTCTCACTTTATTGGACTTTATGAGAAATAAGATGTCAATTAATTTCTTGCATGTTTTAGACTTGCATTGACCTGCCTAAAAGTAAATATTTTGGAGCTCTAGTTTTCGAGCTCATAAAATATATTTTTGGTACTGTCTGGCATCCTAAATCTTTGAATTACATCAAAATAGCAAAGCGTTTTGTCTTGCAAGGAAGTCATACTCGCTACATTAATCATTGTTGAAACTGGCATATAATTTCGAGCCTTTCTTATGCAGTAAAGATGTTTAGCTCTTGAAATCATCAGCAAGTTATTTCTGCAATGTTGAAAAGCCCTTGCCATGATATATACTTGTCTCCATGTAAGTCCCAAAAGAAAGAACTTTCCACGAGTATGCCTTTTCCTAACATGCTTCTCCTTGTTTTATCCCCCGACAACATGAAGGAAGACGGTGTTTTTGCATTTATTATTCACTGACGGGCAGCCCTGCAGCTTTCTCTTTTGTGACAAACCTTACGGAGAACTGCACAAAAAATTGTAGGAAGCTTCTGGTCGGGGGCAAGTTGAGAGTGCAGGACAAGTTCCTCCCACAAAACCCTCCACTCTTTTCCCTGTAGCAGAGCGAATGCTGGAGGGAAGGTGAGGAGGGACTTGCCTCCTCTCCAGCATTCGCTCTGTTAGAGTGGAGGGTTTTGTGGGAAAAGCTGGACACAAACTCCTAACTTGTCGCCAACCATAGAAGAGAAAAGTGTCTGCTGTTATTTTGGAGCAAGTAGAGCCTGCTGGTCGTCTTTTGGTTGCAGCACGCACTGACGGTGACGAACGCAGTTCCTTTGGCGGGAGACGCACCCTCCCGAGGTCAGGTGTTCCAGCAGTTGACGGACCTGACGGATCTCGTTCTCGCTGGCTACAAGGTCCATCTGGACTCTTTGGGCCACGACTTCATGGCGTACGAAAGACTCGAGCTCAAGTTTCAGCAAGATCGGAGCCGCCTCATTGGTTCCCTGGGTTAGTGCTCTCGCCACTCTTACCGCAGGTTGGGTTTTATCGGCCTAAGAGAAGGCTGTCGCAAAGAACCGTCGCAATGGACTGTGACGTCACGCGACACCATGACGGCGTCCAACGTCACAGTCATGTGACCTCATGACGGACACGCGCATAGCGTGTGTGCACCTCATTCACAAGACATTCTGTGCTTCCTAGCCTTTGTCAGCATGACCAAGCTAGTGGTATACATCTAATTGGAAGGGAGAAAAGGGGTGCCTTTTTTTTGTAGCCACCAGCCAATAGGCCAAATCTTGGGACTTCCTCAATATCCCTTGTTTTGCCCATTGTAAATCATTGTATTCTCAAAACTTTTGCAAAAAATTTGGTTTTGCTAAATAGCATCACAAGAGGCTTGGAGAAGTTTTCGGGAGTATCGAGCACCAATGGGGCATTGAAGGGACGTGTCATGGAAGTTCTTTGGCCTGTCTTGTCAACAAGAAATGGTGAAATCGCTTTACTTTTAATGCAGAATTGCTTTCTTGCTGAAGCTAACTCAGATTTCACGAGCATCTGTTGCAGTCTAGTTTGGTGTAAGCTAGTAGAGTTGGCCTAGTTGGCCAGCTGCCAAGCTCCTGCACTACAAACCAACTGCACGTGCTTGCACACATCAGGTATTGGTATTGACTTTATGTTAACAACACACAATGAGTCGCTTCCTGCGATGCTTCCTCACCTCAGTCTGTGCATTATTCTCGGCGTTGCAAAAACATAAAAAACGAAAAAGAATGAAGAGACGATTTTGAAAAAAGACACGGCAGCCCGTGCTGGGAAGGTAGATATTGAACTCTAGCATTGGCTGCATTTCTCACAAAATTCAATTCTACATGTTACAGTTTGGTTAGTGCATCAAAATACATCTTAAAATTATTTTTGTTTGGATGTGTTAAGTTAGAAGTTGCAAGAAAATAGTGTGTGGTGTTGATGGCCACTTCTGTCGTAGCCGGGAACGTACGCCTCCCCCTTATTTATGTCCCTCGCCCTCCCTCCTGCTGCAGTGAAAGCCAGCCAGTACGAGAGGGCGGCAGCTCTCGCCGAGAAATACTTTGACTTTGGCTCCCTCGTGGAGATCTGCGAGGCCACGAGCAACAAGGACAGGCTTCAGAGCTACATGAGCCAGTTCGCAGAACAGGTGCGCTGTCCTTTTCCCACGTTTGCCTCGGCAATCGTTCATAATTCTTTGCCGAGGCAGTTTCTGTTTTGTGCTGCACTGTCGAGGCCAGTGTAGCTTCGCCGTGCTGCAGCCCTGCACTGCTGCAGGGGCACATGGCTTCCTCTTCTCATCTGCACACGCTCTTGCAAGTAGTCTTGGCAGTGTTGTGGCACAGGGGAGAATGTGCTGGCTTTGGCAATGTAGCACGAAACATTCGACTCCAAGCATAGAAAAGGCCACTATACAACTGTTGTACGTGGTCTTAAAAATGTAATATTTAAACGATGGTACCAGCCTCTACTTGGAAAAGCCTTCCTGCGGGGAAATGTAAAATATTGTGAAAGGCATAGAGACTGACACGCACCTTTGTCATCACGCCAGTGTGCTGACGTTGCATCTTTCGCAAGGTTTGTCTATGCGCATGTGCAGTGCTTGCCTCTGATGCTGAAAAATGTGCACTCGTTAAGAATTAAAACAAGAACACCGACTTGACATAACAGAAAAAACAACTTCATTAGACGTTTCGCCTCCCATGCGGGAGGCATCATCAGTAGTTACACAGCAAATGCAGGGTTCAACCCAAACTCAACGCTATTTATCACGAATGTCCGTGTAAGCTTCGTGGAGAGGGCCGCGGTTTTTGTTGCACACGGATGTGTCCCTGCGAAGAAACCACGATTCAAGAAGCTTTCGGGGCCCCCATCTGTACTCTCTCGCCAAGGTCGTCGCAGCCGGAAAGTCGAAAGAATGCCCCATTGTCCACGCATGGTCCACCAGTTCAGTCTTCAGTCGCGTCGCGTGGGATGCGTACGTGACGTCACGCTTGTGTTCTTTGAGTCTGGTATCTCTCCTCCGTCCGGTTTCACCAATGTAGGACGCTGGGCAGTCACTGCAGGGGATCTTGTAGATAACGCCTCTTTGGACGTTCGCCGGGGTTGGGTCCTTTGGTTTGGAAACGAAATTTCCAATAGTTCTTTATGGCTTGAAAACAGTTCGGATGCCAAGGGGCCTCAAAGCGCGACTAAGAGGTTCGGAGACTCCTTTGACATAGGGGATGCACACTACATTCTTATCTCTTTCCCTTTCGCACGGTTCCACATTTCCACATGACGAGGTCAAAAACAAAATGAAACAAAATGTGGAACCGTGCGAAAGGGAAAGAGATAAGAATGTAGTGTGCATCCCCTATGTCAAAGGAGTCTCCGAACCTCTTAGTCGCGCTTTGAGGCCCCTTGGCATCCGAACTGTTTTCAAGCCATACAGAACTATTGGAAATTCCGTTTCCAAACCAAAGGACCCAACCCCGGCAAACGTCCAAAGAGGCGTTATCTACAAGATCCCCTGCAGTGACTGCCCAGCGTCCTACATTGGTGAAACCGGACGGAGGAGAGATACCAGACTCAAAGAACACAAGCGTGACGTCACGTACGCATCCCACGCGACGCGACTGAAGACTGAACTGGTGGACCATGCGTGGACAATGGGGCATTCTTTCGACTTTCCGGCCGCGACGACCTTGGCGAGAGAGGACAGATGGGGGCCCCGAAAGCTTCTTGAATCGTGGTTTCTTCGCAGGGACACATCCGTGTGCAACAAAAACCGCGGCCCTTTTCTACGAAGCTTACACGGACATTCGTGATAAATAGCGTTGAGTTTGGGTTGAACCCTGCATTTGCTGTGTAACTACTGATGATGCCTCCCGCATGGGAGGCGAAACGTCTAATGAAGTTGTTTTTTCTGTTATGTCAAGTCGGTATTCTTGTTTTAATTATGACGTCTCCCGGCTTTTGGAGTATTTTTGCACTCGTTAAGAAGCAGATGGTCGGCCTATGCAGCTTGAATTGGGATGACAAACAAAATAAAACGCACTACACGACGCCGAGGAAAGAGACAGTATTCAATTTTAGAGTTTAGCGAGAGGCAAATATCGCAGTTACTCGCATATGTTTGCACGAATATAACGTGAGTTTTTTTTCTAAATTACAACGCTTCAAAACGCACCTCGCGTTATATTTGGGATAGAGTTGAGCCACGAGGCGTGCGAGTTTGGAGAAAGCCGTCTCTCTGGGCTCAGTGCAGGAGGTCGGGTGGGAAAAGAAGGGGGGGTGTGGGAGGCAATTTATTAGCTATTGGGCCATGTGAAGGGGGAAGTAGGAAACATGAAAAGCATTTTTATCGATTTTGTGTTCGTACAACACGCCAAAAAGCACCCCGCAGAAGTGCAGCGCGCCACGCGGGAATGCGGGCTCTGGCCAGTTCTAGTCAAGCCAGGCCAAGTCAAGTCAACAGAAGCCAAGCCAAGTCCACCCACCGTATTTACGCAATCATGCAACACGAGGTGTTTACGTGGGGAGACCAGAACAAAAATGAGTGTGATCGTGTATCGGGTCTATCAGTCTTTCTTCTGCCTCCACATTTTTTAGTTTCTGCTCCAGAGTGGTCTAGTGTTTGTGTGTTGGTGCTTCTACTTCGTGCCTTGCTTTGCTTGTGGGCTGCCGAGGAGCTTGCGAAGAAAAAGAAACTACCAGACAAGCAGCACCGTGCTGCTTCATATCTGTCAAGTGGCCAAGTGGATTGCAAACAGAAGGACCTGAGCAGTGAGGATGAGTGCAGTCAAAACATCAGCTGATATTTCTTTGATTTCCATTACGTTTTCACCTCTGCTATGCCCCCAAGTGCTGTAAATTTACACTGCCTCGGATTGCGTTATAATAGTAATATTTTTTTTTTCTTTTTGAGGGCATCAAAACCGGCTTTTGCATTATATTCATAGACACGTTATATTCAGGCAAATGTGATAAATGCTCTCACATAATTAATATTTATGATTGTCCCACAACTATCATCAATATTTCTACTTTTTTTTTCTGACGCATATTGATTGCACTTTTATTTTATGGCTCCGCAAGTCTTGAACTGCATCAGACCCAGCCAGCCGCCAATCGAGTAAGCCGCCAAACGGCCAGGTCAAGCCAAGCCGAGCAGGGCATGGGAAGTTGCAGCGTAACTGAGCGGTGTGAAAAATCAACAAAGCTGGGGTCGAGGAATCACGTAGCCCTCGGAGACGTTTCGTCCATCGGAGGCATTGACGTGAACTAACGAGCCGTCGTCCGTGGTCTGCTTTCGGACAGCGAAATAGTGAAAGTGGTTGGACCCATGAATGCTAGCTTCGCTCTTTGTCTCGAGTGAGCTTTGCAAGGTGCTGTTTATAAGGTTATAAAACTACACACAATATCGGGGAAAAAAAAAAATTATACTTTGTAACTTAGACACACTGCTTTAGCTGAAAACAGTCATAATCCCAAATTCAAAAATATTGTGTGGAGTGACCTTTAAAATTTTTTCAAGAAACAAAAGATGTGATGTCTTTTACTACTCGAATGAAAGAGCTGGTGTCTCTCCACTTGTTACTGTTGATTGATTCAGTTGATGCATTTTTGACAGGGGTAATAATCGACTTGTAATACTTGCCAGTTCTGTAGTATAAACATTTTGCTTTGGTAGAGTGGGGTTTTATTTCTTGCACGTTCGAAGGACTGGGTCCGAGCATCCGATTTGTGTCCAGAAAAGCTGGCAAAGGTTTTTCTCTTGTTCACCTTTGCAGGGTTTCTCCGAGTTTGTTTTCAAGTGGCAGCTTGACTCTGGTGAGTGGTCTTTGTATTCTCAACATTTTGGTGGTTTGAGCAACATGCTTTATGCCCTTTTTTTTTTACACCAAATGAAGAAATCCACATTGAAAAACCCTACAGCATTCGCTGTGAGGACCTCTAGAAGAGGTGTATCTCATTTAGTTTTAGTCTTGTTTTGATATACCCTAAGTTGTAAACTTTGTTTACATTAATTCTAATAGCAGTTCGGAATGGCACTTTGAGGTCACACTGGCTCGGTACATTTTGGTGGGGTGTTTGGTACTTAATTCCTTTTGTAGTGCATGTTTCATTCCACCTTTCTCACCAAGGGATGATCCATTATTCATAGGTTACGGAAATGCTTTCTCAAGGGCACTTGTTCGTTCTTGGAAAGAAAAAGATAGTCAAAGAAACAAGAGAATTCGAAACCACGTTGGTGGTTTTTGTTTTCATTTCATGCATGCTATTAACAAGAACTAGATGACATCTGTTTTTTTCTGTTATAAGCATGAAGAGTTTATTTATATCATGGGTAAGCCAAAGCAAGAAAGGAAAACTTGTTTCGCAGCATTTTTAATACTACTGTGCTCTTTGCCAGTCGTCTGAGGCACCATTTGATTTGCTTTGGTACATACAACCCCCACCTTTTAAGGGGAGGCTCTGGTCTTGAGCATTTCTGTCATTTATGATCTAGTGTATATTAAATTCATTAGTGTTGTGCAAATATTAAAACTTTAAATTGTAGTTTTGGATAATATGCTATTTAATATTCGCTTTGAGATGAACACTGATATTCATAATTTTCCAAATTTTCACTGCAACGGGTCAGCCCAGTTGAGCGCGTTTCTTTACCGAGCACTGGTGTACTGCAGAGAAAAAAAACACCCACGAAAGCGAGCTTTGCGGGTGTTGCTTCTCTGCAGTGCACCGGTGCTCGGTAAGAAGCGCGCTAAACGAGGCAATTCTGCTGCGATCAACACATAAAGAAGTACAGTCTATTGCAGTCTTATTCTTAAGAGAAAAGCCCTCTTTCAAAACGGGATGGTGCATGCAGTTAGTGTAGTATGTAAAGAGAAACGGAAGCTTTGTGAATGTGGATACGTACACTCCAGTAAAATTTTCATTATTAAACTCTGGCTATTACACAAGAGTACATGTTAGGTAGAGATGTCCTGACAACCTACGTTCATCATTCATGATTCTTTTTTAACTTTCTAAAATTCTAGATTTAATAAGAAATATTTACATATAGCAAGGTTTACAAATCCCCTTGATGAGGTATAACTGAGGATCTCTATAGGTTTAATTTTATGTCAAATGCATCGCTTATTTGCCATTTCCATGTAGGCATTGGACTTTCTGAGGTCACAGTCTATAAATATAGTTAGATTAAAATTAACCTGGCTTAGATATGGACAAGTGGGAGCTTAGGAGCAACCCTTACAAGTTCAGGGGGTTTTCGCTTAGGCATAATGCAGTAGTGAAAAGCCTGGAGAAACTGTTTAATATTCTATTAAAAAATATTCGGCCAAAACCACTATTCTCTTTGAACTCGCTTTAAATTCAAAAGCCACGGTTCACAAATGCCTAAAATATTCACATCTACTATAAGATTTTGTGCTAAGCACAACTATGAGCTAATTGTTTTTCTATCTTATATATTTTAAGAAAATCTCAACTTTATCACAAGTGCTTCTGCCCAACTTTGTTACAATACCATAAAAAGATACGGCACGAAGTATGCACGTTCTATAAACAGCAGAGAGTGCGACAAGACCATCCCTATAATTTTAGCATCATTTAAAAAAAAAATATTACAAGTTGAACTATTTTTGCTGATAATTAGAAATGAGTCATTAAGGTCTTCGGCGATTAGAAAATTTGGCATTTAGAAAAATAAGATTTTTAAGGTATTAAACCTTAAAAAGTATTCAGATTCAAATTTTAATCAAAAGGTACCCGGGCAAAAATTTGGGTTATGATGAAAAAAATTAATTTTGAGAAAACAGGAAAAGCTTTCCAAACATGCTTGGAAACAGCCTGAATATGAAACTTTGAATCAATGTAACTGTATAAATGTGCATTTCCTTAGTGTAGTACTTACGAAATGTTGCTTGTGACTTATAAATAATAAGAAAAAATGTTTGAAGAAATAATAATCTTTTTTTTTAATTCTTGTTTTTCAAGACCAGGGTCTTCCCTTAAAGAAAAGAGGCATATTAACAATAGCAAAAATTCGGGATTTGCGTAGCTGTGGCATATCCTTCACGTTGCCGTGCCATGCCATCATCAGCCAGATTTAATGTGACCCCTAGTGGTGTCCCGAACTTAATGGGATGCCACTAGGGGTCACACGGTCAGGTGACTGCACGATGTGAGTCAAGCTATGCCAGATCACGCGTAGTTACGGCGTCACCTTGTGGCGTTGTGAGACAAAGTGTCGCATGACCCACTGTGCGAAGTCATCGCGTCGCATGACGAGACATTGCGACACCACAGCCCGACACCCAATGTGACCAAGTCTTATGATGTCGACGCCGTGACGTCTCATAACACCAACGCCGTAATATCCCACCGTGAGTCACACAACCGGCAGTGGCGGAACTGCTGCGCCCTTTGCGCTAGACTGCACCAGAAAGAATATCCTGCAGCATGCTGCTCCAAAGGCTGTATTTGTACACAATTTGCGCCACGTCTGCGGCAAAAGGGAGCTGTTCTCGAAAAGGAAACCTAAAGTGCCTGGCACGTGGCACTGATGGCGACGCCACTGAAAATGAAGAAACTACAATTGTGGTTTCTTGTTCGGATGCCTAAGTTCTATGTGCGAAAAGTAGGGTTGCGCGAATATTCGAATGGTAGTTTCAAATAATACGCTATTTAATATTTGCTTCAAAATGAACTGCAATGTTCATACTTTTCAGTTTTGGTCGTGGTGGGTTAGCCCCCTTGGGTGCGCTTCTCCTCAAGCACCAGTGCACTGCAGAGAAGCAATACCCGCGGCGCCGACACCGCGATTCGCTTCACTGCAGCGCAGCCACGCGCTTAGGCGAGAAACGCACCTTCAAAGCGGTATGATGCACGCGCACGCCTGGTGTATAAAAGGCAAAAAAAGGAAGCGTTGGAATTTTTGATATTTGCTTGTTTCTTGTTTTCTTTTAATTTTGAATTTAAGAAAATTTTTCGGCGTATGGCTAGAATATTTATAAATCCTCTCAATTAGGTGTGGCCCTTTATAGGTTTAATTTGTTGTCAAACCTGTCGTTTGCTTGCTATCCCAGTGTAAAAATTGGACTTTCAGAGACCACAGGCTATAAATATAGCTAGATTAAGTTTTACAGAGCTCATAAGTTGGTAGTTAGAAGCTTGGGAACAACTTCACGAGTTTAGCTGAATTTTTGTTTGAGCATGGTGTAACAGTAGTGAAAGGCATGGAGAAAGGCGCAGTAACTATTCAATATTTGGTTAAAAAATATCTGGCCAAAACCACTGTGCACTTTGAATTTGCTTTGAACCCAAAATCTATTATTTGCATGTGCCTAAATACTACAAATCAAAAAGCACCGTGAAACACATTCTACATAAAAGTATCCGTTTGATGTCGAACACGCAACAATTACGTCACCGTGATGCAAGCCCTACAAAGTTGCCAAAAACATCTTTTTATGTCAAACACAGACCAGAAAAGTTATCAGAACTCCTAATAGGTTAATTCAGACATTTGCAAAATTACCCATGTATGATTGTTCAATAAATAAATATCTGTAGCGGCCAGGTCCCTTGTAGGTGTGGCAATTTAAGTAGTCTCCCGACACTCCAACAACTGTAGTTTTTTTCCAGAGGCTAACTTTCAAAGAGATTGTTCGAAGCTGACGTGAAAGCTCAAAATTGTCTGCTCTAAAAGTGAAAAGTGGGAATCTCCGCTCCCAAGCCCGTGGCTCCCTGCTACAAGAGCTGCTCCAATTCACCACTTATCAATCTCACTACTGGACCGGACATCCCACCCTTACACTGCCCAGGTTTGAATATAGTTCCCCAACGCATTCTGCGTACGGGACGCTCGAGTGGTAAAAGCAGCGAAAGAGCACCTGAATTCTTTATTCACCTCACATTGGTGCGGAGTAACTGTGCGGCTTGGCGACCATGACAATGGGGCGAGTTCTGGCGGTTCCTTCCCCTCAATGACACCCCCCGCCCCCCCCATTCCAGGCCGCCGTGGGGACCTGCTGCGGCAGCCCCCTGCCCAGCACCGGGACCTGGAGCGCTTCTTGGAAGGCCACGACCAGCTCAGCTGGCTGCACCACATCCAGACAGGCCAGTTCGGCCGGGCAGCCCAGACCCTGGAGCGGCTGGGCAAGAGGGAGGAGAAGTTCCTCGCCCGCAAGAAGGTGGGTGGAAGGGGCAGCAATGCACGGGTCGTGAAACGCAGAGCATGCGCCCATGTTGCAATAAGCTCCAGTCTCCTACTTTCAAAGCGTTTGAAATGTATCCAAACAACATATCAAGCTTCCACCCCAGCAAACTTTTGAGCATCGCCGAGCTGAGAGGCGTGCTCTTCCTTGTCAGTTGCTTCTTCGAGTATACTGTTGCATGCTTTACGCACTTGTGCCACTGTGAAGCTTTACGTGTGTGCACATGTGCAAAGCATTGAAGCTTTGCAGATGTGCAGTGGTGTGAGGTGGTGAAGCTCTACACGTGTGCACTGGTGTGAAGCGGTGAAGCTTTATGGATCTGGGCCTGTGTAAAGCATTGAAGCTTTATGTGTGTACATTGGTGTGATGCAGTGAAGCTTTGCATCAGTGCAAAGTGATGGAGTTTTATACACGCATAGTTGTGTCAAGCTTGATGTAAGAGCATCGGCACACAGCAGGCTTGACCTGAGCAGCATGGTTGCCTTAAGGGCCACTGAAAAGAAAATGTTTTTTTTAAACAGTCTGGTTAGGACACACGTGTCAAAAAATTAATTTTATGCGAAAAAAATTAATTTTTGGAACGGTATTGATTGCACGAGGTTCATTTTAAATTCTGCATGCAAGTCCATGACATTATGGAAGGCCATACACTCCACCTCAACGAGATAGTCATACACTCTTTCTACCTCAACGTGTCGGCCAACCCGATCCACCTCTCCTCCACGCGCCCGAAATGCTGAGAGAGAAAACAAGTGGAAAGGAGGTGACTACAAACTAAATCGTGTCTCGTGCCGTCAACATTGCTCTAAAGGGGGGCTGGTCCCAATCAGACCATCCACCCTTTAAAGGTGGCTGGTGGCTTTTCTATTGTCAAACATCGAGCAAGTGCCCATCTTCTATTTTTCACGATTACCTTTGACCTTTTGGTGGGGCACTCTTGGTAATTGGCAGTATGCCTGCAAAAGTGGCACCTATCGTGTGCTCTGTATAAGATGCATTGTGCAGGCTTTTTTCTTCTTTCTTACTGTTGCTCATGGTGCCACTGCCATGATTCACAATTCACTAAAAATGTTGCCCATGCATTAAGGGGAGGCACGGCCTAGGAATTGAGATTTTTTAAAAAAAGTCACATTTTTGGAAAATAGGCTGACCAGCTTTTACAACTCATAAAGAATGCTGTCCAAAAATTTTATTCCTGTAAGTAAAGTATTTACTCCGAAATAAATTATTTTTGAAGTGCTGGCGGCCGCACGTGCGCGCCAACGACGCGGCCGATTACGAAAATGTGGCATTTTCAAAGCGCGCTCCCTCCGCGTTTCTTAGGACTAGCATGGACAGGCCCCCCTCGTTGGAATGAGCGTCTCGCCCTCTTTCGTTCTGTTCGCAGCATTGTTCGCGATATCAACTCGCAGACCGTAAAACCCCGTAGAAAACATAGCTGTGCACGCTCTTATTGGTCAAGCTGGCGAAACAAGAGCTCTGATTCTCTAGGAGGAGCCACGTGACGTGGCTCGTCCTAGCGAATCAGGAAGCTCTGTTGGAAATGGGCGTACAGCCAGGGAGCTACCAAGCGTCATACGGAGACAGGGCTACCAAGATGAAGGTTGCGAAGGTCCAAGTGAAAGCGCTCGAGTCCTCCAAGATGTCCCACAAAAAAAGGAAGATGGAAGCTGTGGCCAAGGCACAGAGGGACCGTGCAGAGGAAGGAGTGACATATGCCCCTGGAGCATTTTAGATGAAATGGCAAGCCCCATCTAAACTAAAACACTGTTCGAACTTTTAAACCAGTTTCACCATTTTTTCACAGCTCTAAAACTATCGTTCGATGAGTTAAGCGTCCCCAAGTCTAATGTATGGCTTTTTTGGCATGAAATTTACTGGAGAACTTGGCTATGCACTTACCTTTTGCAAATTGTTATTTCTTCTTACAAAATTGTTGACGTTTGTGAAACAAGAAAAAAATTAAAAATTCATACCATTATTGAAAATTAATTTTTTTGTGAAATATGGCCTTAAAAGTTATTTCAAGTCTACTACCGATTAGTTTAGTCATTCAGCGTTATATCTCAACAAAGAAATTGTGCCTTTTTATTCATATTTTGAAACGATAGTTTTTTTCCTTTGGCACTGCTACATGTACATTTTTTTCAACGAATAAGGCTGTAACTTGTCAAAAAATAAACCTTTTGGGTTGAAAGTTGGCGTAGCCTCCTAAGTTTTGACGTTTAACGTACCCTAAAAATTTCATCGACCTGGCACAAATACGTAAAAAGTAGACCCTCCAAGGGAGTGCCCCCAAAAAAATTTTTTTATTTTTTGCCAGGCGCTTTATTATGGTGTTGGAGGACTACCCAATTAATATTTTGCAACAGAGTAGCGTATTTTTTTAATTAAGTCAAAAGGCGCAACTGCTCGAAACCGAAACCGAAACCCGATGGCGGTCGGAGAAGTGGAGAGAAGAGAGTGAGTGGCGGAAGTCACGTGGCTACACCCGACCGTGCGTTTTTTTGTTGTTTTTTTTTGTTTTTTTTTCTTCTCTCCTGTAGCAGACGACACGACATGCGGCGTGCGGGAACTGCTCCCCGTGCGATTCTTTTGCAGTTATGTTTGTTCCGCTCGTTGTTTTGTACTCCAAGATGAGTTATTTTGTACATTGAGGAGTTGGAGATGAGTAGTGAGTGCCCGTGGTGAATTTCCATGATCGGCTTCGAAAAGAATACACCCAAGATGTTGCGTGAAGAGCTGCCTCACATGTCCTGCATCCGAAAAAAAGTGGCATTGTGCGACAGAGTTTCCGAAAGATCAACGGGATCGGGACCAATGGCTGGCTGCAATTCCTGTAGAACATATACGGGCACCTCGGAAAGCGGACGCTACCTGCTCCTTGCATTTTGTGGAAAGTGATTACATTGAGTTCGCAGGTGTCAAAACGGAAATCCCATACCATTTAATTCAGCGAAGTATCGTCCACAACATTTGTTTGTTATTTTGTTGTTTGTTTCTTCAGTGATGATTGTAAAAAAAAGAAAAAGATATGTAAACCTCAGAAAATGTTTGAAAAAAAAATAAGAAAATAAAGTTTCACGTGGGATCGAACCCGGTTCTACCGCGTGTGAACCGGACGTCTTTCCCACTGAGCTACTGGGGCATCGCTCTTCTGGTGGATCTCTTTCCTTAGTAACAATTCAGCCGGTAGAACTATAAGCTGGAAAGTTTACTGTCGATTTTTCTCTAGCAAAAGCACTCACGGGTCAAAGTCGGGAAGCACCACGCTTTGGGGACATTCGCACCTAGTAAAGAAATCGTACGCGTGCATATTCAACTCGAAGTAGACACGTCGTGCTTGACGTTTGCGCAAGCGATGTCTTCAGCCACGAGAAGGGAGCGACGGCTCGGCGACATCTTCGTGCAAATCGGCTTGGTGGCCGGGCGTGTCGTACGGGATGAATACCAATTCTTTTGATCAGTCCCAAATTTCTCTTTTAACGGTGGACAGAATTCGCCGGTACCGCGAACGACAGTTCTGAAATAGAGGTCCCACGCCCGTCGTCCGCTACCATCGCCGTCCCAGCGAGTCCCACGATACGCGAAACGACGAACGCACAGAATGCTTCCGGTTGTCTGTGGAACTTTTTTTTTCAATCAACGTATTTACAGCTTTTTAGAAGCCACAAAAAATGGGTTTCATGTTTTTTTCTATTTTTAATATTGAGTGTGTGCCTTCAGTGACCCACGACTTTGATTCAATTTGGTGGTCGCATCGATACCTTAGAAAGCGGCCCGTGACCGCGAAAAAGAGAGTGAGCGAGACTCGAACCGGCCAGTTCTTGATCGGCGGTTGTCGGGCGGAAAGAAACCGAATTTCGAGCCGCAAATTCTGTTCTGGGTAGTTGAGCTCTCATATGTCACGTACAACTAAAAACCTCGGCGAGCATAAATACCCTGTCAGTGTCCCTTTAAGACAAAACAGTGTAGCTCTCCGCCATTGGCGCGGGCAGTATTGGACCATGCGGAAACAGTGCTGTTGATGCCATTGGGCTGACAACAACCAATCTCGTGTTTTGTTCAGTATACTATATTTGAAACAATGCTCTCAGAAGCTGAGGATTCTTTTTTGTCAAATTTCTTGGACCCCCTGTAGTTTGGGTTGCTTTGCAAATGCAACTGCGGTCTATTAGGAAAGGGAGAACATTCGGTTTCTTTGTCAAGCAGTTTTCTCGCCTTAGAAAGCAGAGGTCTTGTGCCATCAGGCTGAGCTGCCTTGTTGCAAACTTCAACTTGGTATGGGAGGTTAAGAAAGTGGCTGCTTTTCTGCACTGATGGGCGCACCTCGGAACTGAGTTGGCTTTCGGATCATATTTTATTTTGCAGACGCTCTTCAGCCTGAGCAAACTGGCTGCCCTGGCTAGCAATGACCCTCCAGAAGTTAAGGAGAAAAGAGTCAAAGGTAGGGGCACGTCTCTCTCTTTCCTTGTCTTTTTTTTTCTTCCTTTTGTCTATGATCAATGTTTGGCCATAGATGCGTTTCTGGCTTCTTGGACAGTGTAGAATTTCTTTGTGTCGTTCCGCTTAAACTTCACTGTTTTTCTATGACCCTGTGCAGATGCTATCAAGGAGCACGACCTTATCATGTACCAGGAGTCGTTGCCTCCTGCTGTCATGGAGGCAAGTATGATCTGCTCACATTGGTGTTTAAGAATCTCTCAAAGTCTGTCTGAATTATGTTATCTGAAGTTTGCTTTGCAGAATGTCCATAAAAATTGACAGATGGCTCGCATCGGTGAACAACAGACATCTTTTTTTCGCTATTACAGTCGAGCCTGGTTATGACAAACTTGTTTATAGTGAAATAGTGGGTATAATGAAGAGATAATGATTTTATATTCCCATTTATGCATTTTCAATGCACTTTGGGTTCAGTTTTAACGAAGTGAATAAAGAAGCCCCTGCGGATATAACGAAAAGAAATTTCGTGCCGACTGGGCAAAAGTGTAGCAATCACAATAGCTTATAAGCTTTCTGGTAAATTTTAAGCAAAAACGCTCGAGGTACACGTAAGCAGTTTTTATGAGTTGTGAATGCGAAAGCATGTACATCATTCTTCCGCTCCCTTATTTCGTCTGCAGTGTATTGCGTCGACGGCAGAATGCCGCGCTCTGCCGGTGAGGAGAGGGCACCTCTCGAGGTCTTGCGACGGATTACGGAGCGCTATACGGGTGCTTAGCGGGCTGCGGAAACGGTCTACTTAAACTCCCCAATAGTGCAATCTGTTTGGTTTGCTCCGCTGCGCATTGTGAAAACCCCGAAGTTTGTAGAAGTTTGAAGCCTTTCTTACTCCTCTCTTCTCTCAACTAGCAAAAGGAGAAGCAATTTTTTTCGAAACTGATTAAAAGTTTGAAAATTAACTAGTCGAACCTTGAAGTTCGGTGTCGAACCCGAGGTTCGACGAAAGTTCTCCACATTCTTAGAAGTAGCCCCAAAATAGCCATATAGCGAACCACAAAATTTTGACGCCAACTAGAAGAAAAAAAACGTAGCCCGATTCGGCTACACTGGGAGCAGTTCGAGGAGAACTCTGATTCCCAGATGAAATTATCAGCAAACTCCACATAATTATTTTTTTACTCAGTAAAACTGCCGCGAGATGTTCATAACCAAGGTTTGTTTGAATAAATATAGGGTCAGAGTGTACCATAGTGTTCCCGTCCACCTTCAACGCTGCTGGGCACTGTTTTAGAGCGCAGCTCTTAGGCATCCATTTCCTCGTTCTGCAGTGTCGCTGTCGGTGTTACCGCCGTGCTAAATTTAGCGGGAAATTAAATAGGCCATTTGCTAAATTCCCAAGCGCCCCGGCCTGCACTCGTGGGATCATGGGAATGGTGTTTCTCAGCTCCCTTGTGATCGGTAATTTCGGCCACTTCCATGGTTACACAATATTGAGCTTAATTCGGAGTTCCCCTGAACAAGTGCCTTATAAAGCCCAAGAACCTGTCATATCACTTTTAAAATTTCTCGTCAATATCTGCATTTTTTTTTACTGTGCATGGGATTCACCTTTTAACCTGGCTGAGCTGCAGAAATCTCTTACAATATTATCATTCTCGTGATTGCTGTTTTAGCAGGAATTGCTTAAAAAGCCGAGAATTCACAACAGCAAAACTGAGGGTTCAGCTCGGAGTCAGCGAGACGGTTTATAGCATTTTTAACATTTCTAACTTAATATTAGCGTCTTTGAAGCTGAGAATGATAATAATGTTAGAGATTTCTGCAGCTCAGCAAGGTTGAAGGGTGGACAATATGCACAGTATCGAAAATGCTGACATTGAAGAGAAATTTTAAAAGTTATATGACAGGTTCTTGGGCACTATGCGATGTTTGTTTAGGGTGACTTCGAATTGCACCCAAAACTGTGTAACCATGGAATTGGTCGAAATTACCGATCACTAGGGAGCTGAAGGAACACCGTGTCATGATTTCTCGAGTGCAGGCCGGGGTGCTTGGGGGATTTAGCAAATGGTCTATTGGTGTTGAGGTTACATGACGTCAATTTTCCCACTTAATCTAGCGGAGAAACTGAATTTCTTTATGGGTGATGTGACACAAAGTCTTGTGACGTCATTTTCCCTGCTAAATTTACCGGGGAAACTGAGTTGGTGTCGAGGTCACGTGGTGTCGATTTCCCTGCTAAATATAGCGGGTTAAGTTTCCCTGCTGCTTTTAGCGGGGAAATCGACGTCATGTGACCTCAACACCAATTCAGTTTCCTTGCTGGGGAAAAGGACGTCACGTGACCTGAAAACCAATTCAGTTTCTCCGCTAGCGGGGAAAATAGCGTCACATGACTTCATGTCATGTGACCCATGAACAAATTCAGCGGGAGGAGGAGAGAAAAAAAGAGGGAAGGAGAAAGAGAGGAGGGCATGGAGGAGGAGGAGGGACATACCCTCCCCTCCATACCCTCTTTTCCTCCTCCTCAAGAACTGCACTCTAGTTTAGCATTAGAGATTTGTAAACGTCTTTCATTTGTTTTGGCTCTATCACTTTTATAGAATTCCTGCTTACGCCAAATTTTTTTTGCCATCCCGTTAACTTCGTTATAACGATAGATTACTGTAATTTCCGATTCCCGCCTACTTAGTTATAAACGGGCTCGATTGTATAAACAACATTTGAGGAATACTGTCAGTATTCCGGCCAGAGCAACTTAGTGTTTTTGATGGTGTTGTAATGGCAAGTGTCTCGTGACCCCATATGATCATGGAAAATCATTGTGCTTAAGTAGTCAGCTTTTAACATAAAGACCCAGATACATTTTTCTTCAACTTTTTACATCAGTTTTTTTTACAATATTCCTGAAGCAAGGAAGATCACAAATTTACAAACCTTCTTGAATGCCCCAATTGCCCATGTATTGGAACTCAAGGGAATATCCTACTCGGCCTCAGAATCGCAGCAGATGTTTTGCAAAGAGACTTGGTTTTCTTCTTGGCCAAAATTTTCGATTTTGCCAATTTGCAGTAGAAGAGCATTGTTTGGCATGAGGGACCATTCAATCTTTCACTGTAAAATCTAGGCATCCTAAATTTCCTGGGGACCTACTTAGAGGTACTCGATAGAACTGCTTTGTTATTAGGGGCCCAGTTTGAGAGCCCTTGTCTTTGCAGGCCTACTGTTTGGACCCAGACAACATGAGAGTGCTCAGTCCGGAGGAACTGATCGAGGTCTGTGAGCTCCTTATCTTGCGTTTGTCAATATGCTCAGCCTCTATAATGTACCAATGTCTTTCTAACATTGTAAATCTAAGGCTTCATGTAGCATAGGATCACCATACTTAATGCCATGCTAAACAAAGTTTTAGCCTTAAACCAAACAAAGGGGAACATGAACCTGGATAGCCCAAAACTACAAAAATTATGAGATAGTTTGGCTATGTACCAAGCTTTCGCATAAAAAGGTGACGTCATAAGTTGACTGTGTTGCTGCGAAGGGGAGGGTGTAGAGCAAAAGTAAAATAGGAAATTGCTTTGTGATGTCCTCACTTGTTTTTTCCTCTGTCACTGCCTGTCTGTTGCAAACTAAAAAAACAAAGGCAAAAAAAAAGGAACTGCCACAAATGAGGAGATTGCTTTGACAAAATAATGTCTGTATGCACAAGCATCATTTTTTGCAAGTGTGAGTGTTCTAACCTTTTGTGCATAAATTCTGTTAAACAATAGAAAAAAAAAAAAACCTGCTTTGATTGACTTCTGTACTCTCTATGGTAAAAGTTTCTGTTTTGTTGTCAGACTCAGTGCTGCCCTTTATTTTTCCTTTTCGCAGATGTATGTCAGCAAGGACAATGTCGACGCTAATGAGTACGACTTCATGAAGGCCCTAGAACTTCTCGACTTCATCCCCGACAGTGCCACGGCGCATAGGCTTCGAATGCATGTCTGGTGCCAGGCCATGCTGAGGGACCAGTAAGCAGGCACAAACATCAACTTCGAAGCAATTTCTGATTTCCGCTGGTGCCGCATGCTAGTTAACAATTTCTTTTTTTTTCAGGTGGGAGGACCTGGATACTGACCGTCCATTAGAGACAATGAAAGAGCTTCTCTTCTTTAGGATTGTCGAGCTTGCATTCTCTCAGAGTAAGCAGGAACATTTTATTTGACTCTTTCGTTTGTCCTCTCAACGAGCCATTTGCAAAGCGTGCGGCACCCTTCAGGGGCATTGAGGGTTGTAAGCAGTTGCTGTAGGGTGGAGAGCCATGTGAAAGCAGAGTAGGCAGTTCACTATTGGCAAGGAGATCAAACTATAGGGGGTGCAGTTTCATTATCATCATCATCACCACAAACTATCCCTGTCTGGCAAACAATTCCGACGCCAGCACTCGCCTAGCGTACGCCGCATCGTTTCCGCGCTCGCTGAATATTTGTTTGTAGCACTATGGTGCGCATTTTGTGCGTACCACAGTGCTCGAAGCATGCTTTTGAACCGGGTATATGAGGCGCGGAGGACTGCAACACGTAGGTACGCGACGATGCAAACGCTGTCTACCGTCAGCTCTGGTGCGATGCTGCACTCGGATGACGTGATCGCAGTTGAGCACATCGTCTCTTTCAACGAGACACTGCTTGCTTTCGCCGATGTTGTCCATGATTGTCGTAAGAGACAGGGTAACAGAAAAGTGATGTGCGTGTTTTGTGAATAATTCAGAAAAACACGGACGCCGTGCCGGCCACGCACAATCCAAGGCACGCGGCCAACACGACGCGGCTGGCCCGGCATGTGCACACGGGGGCTGAAGGAGGTATCTTTAGGTATCAGCGAATCATGTGTTCAAACTCCCCCCCCCCCCCCCCCCCCCCCCCCCTTGCTTCCCTACCCTAAATTTTTACATATCTTTCACGAGCCTTGCGTCGTCGTCTTCTATGGCAGCGAAGGCACTAATGACTGCAGTCAAAGGGTTTCTTTGCCACACAGCGTTAGTTCCCGAGGTGGTGCTAGGGAGCGCCACTCTTCAATCCCCTCCCCAATACCTTGTGCCTGATGCATAATTTTTCATCTCAAGTTAGGTAGTTATTTTGATGGTGGTCCCCTCGACATGAAAAAACCAAGTGCCTAAGTCGTGTCATGCTCGTTTCAGGTTTGTATTTTACATATGTGGTATTCTTGTGGCATCCCTTTTGGCCTGCAAATAGTGGTTGAATAGTGGTTTGTCTTGAAAAGTGCAGAATCATCCCCATCTTTTACATTGCAAGGAGCCTGCATATCGTGGCTATAAATGATGCAGCGCTATTCGATTGAATCACAGTTCGCACAAGCCCTATTCGTGGCGTGCGTGTACTACAGAGGGCACTTCTCTAGCTATCATCATCATTATTTGTGACATCACGGGTAGGACAGACTGGGACAGACCACACAGATCTTGGATCCCTCGGCTCGTCAGCTTGCTTCACGCTCTCTTTGGGTAACGCTCTGCAAGGTCCGTTTCACGCGTTGTGTTTATTTGGTGAAGGGATATTTGTGGTAGTACATCTTAACAAAGCCTGAAACCGTGTCATGCGTAGTTGTGCTATCAAACACTTTTGGCACTGAGGTGTCAAAGCGCTGGGATGGTGGTGTGCTGTTCTCTACCGCAATGCAAAAAGCTGGATGAGTAAAATAGAATATCCAGCGCGTGACTCCACTACATCTACCACGGCAAATAGGGTGTATTTTTTAATTATAATTCGGACAACATAAAACTGAGAAAGGAATGTCTCATCAAGTTGATAATAGGAAAGCGAAATTTAAGAACCTCTCGCGTGTGTAGTAAATACTTCAGTGAAAGCGACTTCATGTATCCTGTTGGTTCCGTGTTCTGTGAGTGCTAGTCTCTTATTAGTTTGAGGTTGATTCCTTTTTAACTTTTATAAACCAGTAAGCAAATATTTCCTCAAAATAACTGGCAGGAAGAAGCGGTGGCTGGCTTCGGTAGTCGTTTCATTTAAATCCCTGCTTATTCACCCGGTTGACGCGAAACATGCGAGACCCCCTCGCGATGGAAGTCTTAAATCTAGCAAGTCGGTTACACTCTAGCATCCCAACAAATTGGGTATATACCTGCAATGAATTACTACTATTTGTATGTTTAATTTTGTGGACCCTGATGCGCATAATGCTTGATGCGCTTCTCAGCGAGCAATTTTAAATTTGTAAACAATTCCTAGTAAAAATTTAATAGAACAAATTAATGAATCGCCTGAAATTTCCGGGCCTTGTCCGACAATTTAAGAATTTATTAAAATTTCTGCTTTTCTTTTGAGCAGAAGTCGCAATGTGACAAACTTTGCCACATATTTAATGTGGGAGGAGCTAAGTGCCACTTGCTGACAACTGTCGAATCACACTTGGTTGCTCCTCAGCAACTGTGAGTCACACTTGGATAGAGGCATTGGCATCGGCAAGCTCAATGTAGTTCAAACAAGTGTGCAGCACTCTGCAACACAACTGTGTGTGTGTTCACAGCTAAAAGAGAGCATGTCATTCACTCTGGTGAATGGAAAACCTTCCTCTACAATAGCCTCCATAGATCTGGAAAAAAAAAAAAAAGAATCGGAGAGGCTTTGAGCAGCTCTGATGCATGCTGCGCAAGCTGTAATGTGAAGCTCCAAGCTTGTTTTTGAACACTTTAAAGTTATTTTTTTAATATAAAAGGGACTTTGAGGCATTGTTATTCGTTAGAAAGATCTTTCAGAAGAATGTCATACAAGTTCCTCTAATAAATATTTCATTTTTAATCGACATAGATGGAAAGTAACGTAGCCACTCCATGCTTTGACATAGTGTGTTGTCTGCTCGCATCCTACCAGCTCTGTCACTGGAGAACGCCCACGAGGGGGCACCATCAAAACATCTCGTCTCCAATAGATTGCAATTGTGTAAAGCTTCTCTTTTTGTTGATAGTGATAGCATCTCTGAAAAGACGAGTGTTTTTCTTTCTTTTTTTTTTTGTTACCGCAAAAATAAGCTATGTATTGCCGAACGCTCAAGTCTCCGCCCAAATGTAGTGTTAGCACTCTGTACCAGACGTTAACCATAACTGGCATCTTAATAAAAAAAATTTTAAAGTTATTTTTTGAAACTTTTAACTGGAAAATGGGGCTTGTTTTTGGTAGCTGACGCCATTCATCTCCATGTATTTGTGGGCTTCGTCAGCCACCTTTTTCCCATTGAAAATTACAGAAAATCGCTTATAATTTTTTGCTAAAATCACAGTTAGTTCTGAAACTTTAGCATCTGGTTCGAACCACTAGTGCTACATTTGGGCGAAGAATGAGCACTTGGCATAGCATAGTAATTTTTTGCGGTGCAAAAAACTAACTTTTTTTGGAGGACTACCTTGTACTTCGGAATGGCGTTTAGGTTGTAGTAGGTTCTTATTTTATTGAAAATTCAATATGAATTTTTCCAATTCCAGATGTTGATTTGAAGGAGTTCTTGCCTTGGGTGGAAGACCTGCTTGACATGCCAGAGCTTTCGGATGTGAAGGGGAATCCGAACGTATTGTTTATGCTGAAAGCCGGCTACGAGCACATTGAACGCCTGATAGCGTGATTACCACCTCAAAGACCCCTTGTAACGAGGTTTCTTTGTACAGAATCATCGATACTTGTCAATACCCATGCCACAGATTTCATTGGTGAATGTGTCGTACGTGCTAAGTTGTTTAGCACGCTTTGTTTTTGCAAAGTGAGGAAACAATGTTTTGGAAAGCGTTTATTGAAGTATTCAAAAGAAGTGATGCATGTTGCAGTTCTGCTAAAATGTTTTTAATAAATTTGCATAGTTTATAGCAATGATAATGAATGTGACCCATCCTTGTTATACTGCTGATCCGTGGCCACCTTCTGTCATGGGAAGAATGCGCATGGCCATAGAAAGCAAGTCACTTCGCTGTAGAGCAGCGTCGTGTCAAGGTGTAAAACACTTGCAAAGTGGAATGTCGCATGTCTGCTTGTCGTGCATTAAAATTAAAAAAAGCCTGTTAATTGACAACATATATGTGGCAATTAAATTTTGAAAATTTAAGTTACACGCATCATCAATCGTGTTTTTTTTTTTATTTAAAATTTTTGCAATGATAGTGCGGTGATGTGATTGCTGCGCCAAGGGGCTAACCCTGTTACATCCTGCTGCATTTTGCCAAAATATGGGTAATCTGCGCCAAGACTGCGCCAAAGGACCAATTTCGATCGCCTTTGAAAACCAAAACTAAACTGAGTGCCCTAGTTGAGCATGCGTGAGCTAGGTGGTGCTAAAGTCACTGGATCGGGGGTGCAAGCGGCCGCCCGACACAACGTACCCTGCATCAATCGTCCATCCGGTCCTGCATGGTTCGCGCCGCCTCACGTTGCGCGCTCTTGTCGTCTCGGGGGTTTCGTCTCTCTTTTCTTCTTTTTTCTTTTTTCCTCGATAGACGCAAGCGTGTGCGGATGCTCGACGCTAGGTGCCAGCCATGTCGTCATGCTGTGAAACAAAACCACATTTTTGCGACCAGTCACCGTGGTCGCGCGATGTCGGGCGTTGCAGTCCCCACGTCGCTGCATATATGACGCTTTATAAACTGAAACCTAAGTACTGCCGAACAAAAAAAAAAAATTCCACAGATTCGAATTCTGTCGACTGCGCAAACATTTTTTTTATGCGAGCTCGGACGCCAAACGGACTGACGGACGGACAAGGCTAGACCCCAAGGAGCTTCGCCCCTAAAACTGTGGACGCGCTTTGGAGCCATTTCAAACACACGATACGAAGGTTTATGTTTTCGGGAAGAACCACGGACGGATGAAAGGAGCCGACGGCGCCTTCGTGGCTGACGCGATACCACGTTCGCCGCATCATTGGTGCGAAGACAAAGAAAACAACCAGTTGCCAGAAAGAAAATAAAGGAGCCGATGGTGTTTCCGTGGTTGACGTGACAGCTTGTTCACCGCTACATTGCATTACGCCTCGAAGGGGGAAAAAAAAGTAAAAAAAGAAAAAGGACCCGACGGCGTTTTCGTGGCTGACGCGACAGCATACTCGCCGCGTCATTGGTGTACGCCTCCAGAGACGTCACTTCCGTGACCAAGTTTCGTGATATCGACTCGCAACTTTGCACCTCCTTCCAAGCGCGGTGAACGACGTAGTTTACGTCGAAAACGAAGGGTTTGATATAATTTGGTTAATTTCTTTTAGTAATTAACTTTATAATTAATTAATTTAAAGGTACCATTTTAATTACAAACACGGTGGGCATATTTGAAAACTATTAAATCCACCCACATTATAGAGATATAAAGCTTGCTCAGCCTTTTACGGCGCTCCCTAAAATACACTCAATTTGGACGTTAAAGGGGCACTGACACCCCAAAGGTCGTATTCTTTTTTTATTGTCTAAAACGATGCAAATTGTAGTCAGACACGCAAAAAAAAAAAAAAAAAAAAATACGCATCGCGAAAAAAATTTTCTCTCGCGCGCGCGCGCTTTTTTATTTTTGGCGTTTATATTTCCCGTGCTAACCTCCTTGCTTCTTTTGATCGGTGACGTCAAAAATCGGGAAATTTAGAAGCTTTGTAGGCGACATTTCTATAACAATTAATAACGGCAATCGTAAAACATGTTTTTTAACGCAATGACGAACGCACTACGGCCTTTCTTTTTGAAATACCAAAAATCAGATTTCGGTGTGATGTCGCTTCCTGGCCTTCCTGGATTTGTGTTCCTTTCCAAAAAACACTCCACCCCAAGGGTATGGTGTACTAGAAGACTGGGCAGTGTAGCGAGCGCCGGCGGAGGGGGGGCTCTTTCAGCGATGACCGGATCGGTGGCCGCGAGAGGGCGCAACGTGTAGTAGGCGTGCTGCCGGAGTGCGGAGCGCAGGCAGCGGTAGCGCTTGGCTGGCTTGGCGTTCCGCACGGGCTCGATTGTTTCGTATTGTTTGGCTAACTCTTTACGGTATTCTTTATTTCTGCTGTTTCACATATTATTTATCGCACTAATTTGTTGCCAAATGCTTTGCCCGAGACGTGCATCTTCGGGCAGGACGCCACAGTACAAATCGCGACACTGCTAGCGCGAACAAGACATTGGCGCTTTCTCGCATTTACTTTGAAAGAGTATTAGTGAGGATGAACTTTTATCACCTGCATTATAGACCCGAATGAGCTTTTTCCCCAGCAATTAGAACTTTGCTGAGATCCTTTGGTTTCTCATAGAAAAACCGGCGATCGCTTGTTCGCGCTAACAATATTCCGTTCTGAATAGCTGCGGGAAATCCATCCCCCAGGGAAACGTTCGGGAAGTCTCTTGAAAGAGACGTCCCAAACGTGTGTAATCCCCTGGATAACGTAGGATAAGCATGCTGATGGCATGATACCTAAACAAATGTGTGCTTTTGTGACCCTATAATTTCGCTGTCACTGTAGTTGTGATCAATGAAATCCGTGGTTGAAGCGCGCACTACCCTAATGAATTCTTTCAATGTTTGGGAAAACAAAATGGGGCTTACAAAACGGATTATATCGTCTACTTCCGTAGGCTGCATGGAGGTGCCATTGTCGACTCTTGCAGCTACTTCCACGGGCTTTCGAAGGAATTTCCAGCACTAGCCTTTATCGTATTTTCTGTTACTACGTAGGGTCTTCAAACAGGACTGTGCGCATAGTTAGAAAAATGTATCCACTCACCAGCTCTGGTAGTAACCACAGTGGATAAATTCTTATTTATCCACTGAGCACCAGCTATATTGATATGTGTGGGCACCAGGGCACCCGAACTCCCCCGTAGTCGGCGCCTATGGCGTTTTGTAGCTCTACATTCTCCAACGTGAGGTAATGATCTGAGCTTCGACATGTTCAGGATAAATGACTCAGTATCTTCCGCTGGGCCATAAGACCCTTCAATTTTCTTGCGGTAAAAATAAAAAGAGGCCTCTTAGCACCTGCTCATTGAAGAGACGGAGTGCTGGGCCAACCCTCATCATTTTAAAGTCGTTAGGAAAATTTTTGCTGATGTGAGGTTATACCTTTAAAGGTGTACTCCGCCGATTTTTGAGCTACCTCAACTAACTATATTTTCTGACTCCCAGGCCTTTACCCTTTCTGGAATGCTATTTAATATCGTGAAATTCATAATAGTTATTGCGAAATCGGCAAATGAAAATGATGCAAAAACAGACGTTCAAATATACCCGCCCTTTTCAGGGCCGTGACGTCAGTGGAAGTTCAGCTTGCCAGTCGGGCGAGTAGTCTAAAAAATAGAATATGCCAATTATTTGTTCCGTGCTGGAGCGCGGGGACTGGAGCGAGCTTCCAAGGCATTCATTTGACACCATGAAACTGCTTCAAATCAGTTGGGAACAAATTCTACAGTCCAAAGAGTGAACCCCTGCACTTCCAATGACGTCACTTTTTCATTGTTGCCAGTAGAGACTTTCAGTTTGAAAAACACGGTGAGGACCAAAATTGTAAATTCAATAACTTCGTGAAAAAAAATTATTTTGACCTAATATTTGGGATACTATTTTGGCGATGTTGTTTGGCGAGTTTAGCAAAATTTAAAGCAAATCGGGGACCATGAAGAAATCGGCGGAGTACACCTTTAACGTCACATTTTCGCAGACACTTCTCCAAGCCTTTCTAATGCAGTCAGCGTGCACAGGACCCTTCGGTGTGTCCAAACCAGTGTCAAACCGATTTAGCAGATACTTAGACTGCAAAAAGTCAGAAAAAAAAAAATGTAGAGGACGACTGCCATGACTGCCTGCATTACATGAAGCAGAGTCTCCCTGTCACTCCTTTTAATGTTGCGGGACGACGACTGACGCCGATCAAACTCGAGAGGGGCACGAAAAAGGGAACGAGCTTCTTTGCCACTGTTGCAACCCGGCACCTGCCCCAATAATTGAGGTTAGGGAGGGGAGGGGGGGGGGGGGGCATTGAGAATATAAGAGTCGTTGCGAATTAAAGGGATGCTTTCGGAAAAACAAGGGGGGAGTACACCCCCGTAGAGGGGTGTAGGGAAATCACTGCCCCGACACAAAACATGCCCCGTCTCTCTTGTCCCGCCGTTTTTCCGTCATTGCACGCGTTGTCTACATCCCACTGAACGGCAATGATCACAATCCATTTCACTCAACCATTAAAAAAAAAAAAAAAAAAAAACTGCAGCAAAACAAGGCGACGACGCGAACTACGCGATCACAAGCAGTACGACCACACGGCAATCCGAGCGGAAAGGAGCACGCCTGTTACCCGCAGCGCCCCCTGGCGTCCTTGCGCTCCGTCATCGCTGCGCCGACCTCCTCCCTCCGTTGCTTCTCGGCGCGGACGACACACTGCCCAGTTCTAGAACACCATACCAAGGGCAACAAACTAGGGGTGTCGCGAACCGGCCGAGGTTCGAGTTCGACCAGGTTCGACTTTTTCGAACTTTTAGTGGAAAATTCGGCGAACCTTGTATTGAGGTTCGACTCGTGTGCGCATGCGCGACAGGCTGGCCAGTTGGCTTCGGATTGGATGGTGATGGCTAAGGGATAAATTAAGGGCAGCGCTGATCGGTTATTTCACTCAATACAGTACAAAAAAAAAATAAGTTATTAACTTCTACATTGATTAAAATTAGTTTCTTTTAATTGCAACTGTTTATAAAATAAAATAACCTTTTTCTTAAAAAAGAATTCTCCAAACCTAGACATGCTTGTATCAAGGTCTGGCCACACTGTCCACAAAGTCGAACCGGTCGAATCTGGTAAAAAGTTAGAAGGTTCGTCGAACCGGTTCGACCCAGTCGAACCCCGAAAGTTCGACCTAAAAATCTGGT